ATCCACGATGGGATCTTTGGGCGGGCGATCCGACGGCGCAGGCTCGCCAACACCACCTGGCGGGCCCAGCGGAAGAACTTCGACCTCCACGGCAGGAAGAAGTAGCTTCAGCAATCTGTTTGGCTTGAGTTCAAGATTTCGTCAGAACTCCGAGCCCCATTCACCCCGGCATGGTTCACCTGCTCACGGGTTTCTAGGAAGCTCAGGCTTGTCATCGCATCAAAACTCGATGAACATCAGCCGGGAAACTCTCATTCTACCAGAGCGTGAAGAAGGCGAGACACCTGGACGGTACCTGGAACGAATCGAGGCGAATAACTTCGATAAGAGCGTCGTTGCCAGCTACCTAAGCAAGACCGACGACCCCTTCCTGCTTGCCGTACTTAGAAGCTACATGCGGAAGTTTGCCTTCTTTGGCGACCCAATCGACATGGCGATTCGCAAGTTGCTCATGCAGGTTGAACTACCCAAAGAGACACAACAAATTGACCGTGTCCTTCAGGGTTTCGCCGACCGGTATCACGAATGCAACCCCGGTATCTACATCAACACAGACAAAGCCTACTTCATATCTTTCTCCATTATCATTCTTCACACAGACGTCTTCAACAAGAACAACAAACGGAAAATGCAAAGGCCCGACTACATCAAGAACTCGTCCTGCGATGGTGTCTCGGCTGACGTCCTCGGCTGCTTTTACGACAACATTGTCTACACTCCATTCATTCACATTGAAGACGAGGTTGACCTAAAGAACATCACCTCGAAGAAAAGCAAGAGAGTCGCTGTCCTGAAAGGACCAATGAACGACCCGGCGCGGAAAGCCGCGAAGGAGCCCATCGATCCGTACACATTAATCTTTGAAGGCAAGCTGGACGCGCTCCGACCCACGATCCGAGACGTAATGCAACTGGACGATCCGTACAACTACACCGGCACGACTGCGACGCTAGACACCAAGAACATCTACAAATTGTTCTCCAAATACGGCGTGATACAGATTGTCTCCTCGCGATCGAGACCGGAAGCCTTCATGTCTGAAGCTGCCCAAGAGAATCCCTTCGGAACCTCGGTCGGCATCGTCGAAATGCCAGTGACAAAAGTGGGAGTTTTGTGGAGAAAGGACACGAAGAAAAAGAAGGCCCGATCGCCATGGCAGGAATGGGGCGCCGTTCTCACTCGATCGGGGTTGTCTCTATTCCGGAATTCTACTTGGACGAAGAACTTGATGAGCCAGCACGAGCAACATCTCAAACGCGGCGACACAGGCCCGGTCATATTCCAACCTGCCCTACCCGACTTCAAGCAAGACCACATCATCCCGATGGACGGTGCGGTTGCGCTTGTCGATGCCACATACAAGAAACATAAGAATGCGTTTGTCATGTTCTCCAAGGCAGGCGAGGAGACATTCTTGGCCGACAACGAGAAGGACCTGAACGAGTGGCTGGGTGTGCTGAATTATACTGCTGCGTTTGAAACACTGGGTGTTCGGTCAAGAGGCATGATTGGTGGGCTGTACGAAGGCCAGAAGAACCGTGGCATGCGGCGCCTGGAGTCATCCCACTCGACCAAGACGATACCAACAGCCACTGGCGAAGTTACCATAACAAGTGGCAAGATCGACAATCAGTTTGCACAACAGATGATGAACGCTAGGAAAGATCTCATGCAGGTGCGCATTACGGAGTCCGAGGACAAGCTCACCAATGCTATCAAAGAGCTGGAAGCACGCTTACGAGATGCAAGACATCTCCAAATTCTTGCGCCCATTCAACCGAAAACTCGCGAACTGGTCATACACGCTGCCGGTCGGTTATCAGCCAAGCTTAAGTGGACCCGTATCGACATTTGGCGGATGAAATGTCATCGTGACATACTTGCTCAAGAATTGGAGGACGAGAGAAAAGGCCTCGCAGATAAACAAGCGCAAGATGACCAGCCCTCGGAATTTATTCAACAGCCGCAAGTCTCGCCTCAACAGTTGTCGCACAGAGCGTCAAAAGTTAGTGGACTAGCGCGGTTGACTTCCAAGACCAGCTCAATGAACAGCGGAAACAAGCAAGCTCCATTGTCTCCTACCTCACCGGGCCGTCCAGGGACCAAGTCCTCTAGGGAGACTGAATTCGGTGGAGATGAAGCATTCAAGACACCACCGGAGACATCTCGGCAGTCGAGCCCCAGGGATCCATCGGCCCAATTTCAACCTGGGCCTATGTTTGGCCCTGGCTCATCTGATCGTCGAAGCTCATTTGCGAGCTCCTCGGCACATTCACCGAGGATGTATCCCTCCGATCACAGGCCTTCAATATCGACGACTGGCGATGGCACCTTAGGCTCCGATTCTGACTCTGACTCCGAGGACGGGTCTCGGTACGCGACTCCGCCTCCAGGCGAGGCGGGTGATTTGGAGCCCATGTCACCAGAGCCGACACCTGGAGAGAGCCCCCGACCAGAGCCTGTCATTGATTCTGACTACGAACAATCCCTTGCTGCTTTGACAGGATCGCCCCGGTCTCACACAAAGCAAAGAAGAAGTCTACAGCGCACTCTTCGAGAGTCCCGTGGCAGCTCTTCTCACCGCCGCAGCCACAAGAGCAGAGATTCGTCGTCGACAATCACACTCGCGAGCGACAATACCGAGAGCGAGGGACTGGCGCGCGGCAAGGGCAGCTTTACAGTCCATGGCAAGAAGGCATCTGTAATTCAATTCGGCTCCGACTGGCACAACACCACAGCCGAAGAGCGCTTGGCGGCGAAGAAACAGCTCCAGGAGGCTGCCGAAGCGATCTCTGCCGATGAGCGGGATGGCACGACAGCTGCGCTTTCTCCAGGAAGCGAAAGCAATGACCCGTTCCCCCCTCGGAAACTGTCGGCAGGCACCACAAAGCAGCGACATGTATCGTCTCAGACGATAACTCCAGCAAACTTTCGCGAGTCCTTTAGAATAGAACAATCCGACTCTGACAGCGAGTCTGACATGAGCGACATTGCCGAAGAGACGCAACGAACGTCCGACGACCAACCAACGATGAAGGGCAAAGACCCTGCTACCGAACACGTGGAACGGCCTATACATAATCTCGAGGCCTCACCAGCCTAACACAAACTCCTCTCTTCTCTTATTTCCTTCGCATTCTGGATTTCAAAAGTGGATTTATGGTCATACCAGCATCGCTTGAGCGGCTTCTGTTTCTCCTTTGTCTATTCTACATACTCTTCTTCGGAACTTGTATGCACAAGCATGGCGCATGCGGGCATTGAATTGGAAACGCGACGGGGGCGCTTTTATACATGCATAGACGGACTCTCAGATTGGCGTTTGCTCGAGATTAGGATTGATGGAGAGCAAGTAGGGCTTGGTGTCAGGGCATACGGTTGATACCAGTGTTGCTGCCGTTTGTATGTGGATTACGATGTTCCCTTCGTGGATCAAAATATCGAACTACCGACTTATACGTGTGCTGTTATGGTGTTCAGTGCCGTTGTGCCGGCTTCGTGATTATGGCGCTAGTACCGATTAGTCACCCGGCCTTCCAGAACCGTTTCCCGTTACCAGTACCGACTCCTCCACCACACCTCAACTGGTGTGCATGACCGCGGTACATGGCTGCGCTTCAATCGCTTGCCCACATGTCTGCAAAAACCCGCCCGCCCTGCGCCTCAATCCCCTCACCTCGGGCAAAGCGGCATTGAACACCTCCTTCTCACCCTCCTGAACCCCATCCTGCATACGCTCCTGAAGCCATCCTGCATGCCCTCCAACAGCCAAACCGCGTTTCGCATGTCCGCCAAAAACCAGGCCCCACTCCACGATGCACAATAGCGACCCACCTGCTATTGGTAGAAACAGAGAGGTTCTCGGAGCTCGGCAGCCGCCTTGGGCCTAAGCGAAGACGGTATCGATCATCTCAAACCAGAAACGTCGCGTCGGCCCCTACCAGGTGGACGTGACAGCCCTGTCAGAAATGTCGCGAAGTGTTTGGTCGTGAACTGGTGATACAGGGAGGTGTGCCTTATTGCCGTTTACGCGCCTGAGGGGTATGATCTCACGATAGTGGTTGTGGTTTTTATAAGAGAAGGTGGCCGCCGTTGTGGTTTTCGAGTATCGATCTTCCGTCGGTTTCGTTCGCCCCAGTCAGTCTTTACACTTACGTTCTCTTTTTCGTTCCTTTGCTCTCCCTCCGGTTAGGGTATTTTACCTACTTTTATTGAACGTTCGTTATCGCTATACCCATTCAGCGCTGTTGCATATTTTTGTCGTATACATACAAGACGGTGCCTTCAGAAACGATTCCGAAGATGTACGCCCACGCCTTCACCGCCCTCACGCTCCTCAGTGGTCTTGTCATTGCTGCTCCTACGGCCAATATCATACCCCGTCAAGGCAATGCCTGCTTCATCATCGGCAACGAAGCCCTCCCGGGCGAGACGGCCACTGTAGTCCAACAAATCCAAGACAAGGTCACCTGCGACGCCAACGCAAAGACAATCGAAAACGTCCCCGACGTGACATCCGGTGGCCAAACCTTCTCCAAGATCAACTTCGCTGCCTCTGGTCAAAAACCAATGGAATTCGCCACCAGCACCTTCTTCACTGCTGTACCACTCGCCGATTCCAACCTCGAAGCTTTCCAGGACGCACTCAATGTTTACCTCGCCACTGAGGCCGGTCTACGCAGCTCGGGAGGCAACTTTGGTATCATCAAGGCGCCTAAGTTCTTCCTCGAGATGCAGATTTCGAGAATCCAGACTGCGAGGGGCCAGCCGCCTACCGACCCAGCTCAGCAGGTCGACCACTTGAAGGACAAGGTTATCGAGAACAACATCAGGGAGGATCAAGCGATTATGGATCAGGTTACTCAGTTGGCTACTCAGCTCTCGTAGGGGATGCAGTAGTCATTGGTAGGGCAGATGAAGGAAGGATATTGGACATGAATGCCTCTAGCCAATATGTAGCAAAACCGTCAATTAATCACATGATACCCGTCACCTTTTATTCACAGCTTGCTCTCCCCACTCCCTCCTACCTTGCCCCTCCATCCCGTCAAAGTAGCACCGCCATCCATCTCAACGGCATTACCCGTGATATGCGCACTCGCTTTACTGCTCAAGAACAAGACCAGCCCACCAAAGTCACTCGGCTTGCCAATGCGGCCAGTCGGCTGTCCCGCCGTCAACGCATCTGCGAATTTCTCTAGGCCAAAGTTCGTCATGCGCGAGGGGAAAACGCCTGGACAAATGACGTTGACCATGATATTCTTCGGGGCGAGTTTCGAGGCTTGCATCTTGGTGAGGTGGATGCATGCTGCTTTTGCTGGGCCGTCTAGACATTGCGTTAGTATAAACCAGTCTGGTAAAGGAAGTTATTGGAACGTACAGCTATAAGTCCCAGTCCCCGGATTACTCAACCCCCCACCCTCGCCCGTCGTAACATCCACAGTCGTAATACCCGCCATACTAGCAATATTAATGACCCTGCTTGGATTATGCGCATCCGCCCCCTTAGCCAACAACCCCTCGCACTCCACCGTCATATAAAATATACTCTTCACATTCAACGCATACAGCTTATCCCACGCGTGTTCCGGATAGTTGTAGTAATCATCGCCCCAGCTCGCGCCCGTGTTGTTCACCAACACCGTCAGGCGGTCCGTTTGCTTCTTCAACTCCGTGCAGAGGGCGAGGCAGCCGGCTTTGTCCTTTAGATCCGCGACGATGTAGGAGCATTTTCCGGGGCCGAGGGCGTTGAGGCGCGCGGTTGTGGAGGCGAGTTCGGATTCTTTGCGGGATGCGATGAAGACGCGCGCGCCGTTTTGGATGAAGGCTTGCGCGGCCATTTCGCCTAGGCCGGTGGCGCCGCCGGTTACGAGGACGACGTGCGAGGTGTAGTCGAAGAGCGTGCTGACGCGCAGGTCGTCTTTGGAGGCGGCGTGCGTCATGGTGGGTGGTGGTGTGGATGGAGGTTTGTGGGGTGGCTGAGGTGGAAATGGGTGTAGAGGTGAGGTCGATCGACTTTAGGCAGGCTTCAGGGAGGTATGTGTATATGCACAGAGATGCGCGGACGCGTCAAGGTCGATTCAGCCATGTCGGCAGAGCTGTGGTGGAGAGATGGCATGGACCTCGGCATCTTGAAGCTGTTTGCGGGGTGCTAGCGTCACTTGCGAACTCCACTGTGACCATTCGAGATATCGGTACGTTTTCTTCGATTTGCACTCAACCCGTAATGATGTGATTCTGAAACGTCTTTACATACGGACCTCCCATCGTACCACTCTGGAGGCGTCCTCTTCGCTGCTTGTTCCACGCTCGGCTTTCAGGTTGTCCAGCATCTCTACTGGGTTCTCTACGAGGTATACCTTACTGAGTGTCATTCCACGAGTGTAGACAGACCGAGGATGTGTCCAGCAACCATTGGCACCAAAGACCCACTTTGGGGGTCGGTCCTCTGGGTTCTCTGCACAGTTAGGGTCATGCTTGATCGCTTCCTTGAGGTATCCAATGGCGGCGTCTATATCCCCAAGGGCTTTGCAAACGACATGTGTCCTGAAGCTCAACAGAGATTTGAGCTTGCCAACTTCAAGCTGCCATGTTTTTGAAGTTAGCGACGCTTCTTGCGCACACATGGGCTGATCAGATAAGAAACTGATCATCTCTTCAGCATCCTTGCGCGCTTTCTGGAGCAATGCCACACTGTCGGATGAACCAGCTGGGTCTTCCTCTTTCGACTCCAATATACCTGCGCGATGGCAGAGGGCTTGTATTTCCCCTGCAGCGATGCCGCAAGTCCAGAGCCATAATTCAAGAATCCCGTCTCTCGATGTGTCGTTGCGTATTTCGTCGAAAAGATATGCATAGGCCATACGAGTATGCTTGATATCGTCCAGATGCTCAAGGCAATCAATAACAGGCCGCTCTTTCATCAAATGCTCTCTTAACTTCATGGTCCATGGAGAAGTGATCATGTCATTGGTGCTCACAATGTGAAATCTAAGGCGGGCCTTCGAAATGGGAAGCAGCAGAGGTTCAATGAGGATCTCTTGGGCTCGTTCAAGCGTGTGTGAGAACGTCTCAAAAAGCGACACATATAGGGAAGTGCTTCCAGACCTGACGCAGGTTAAGATCCGCCTTCATGGTATAATGAGAACTGCAATTACTCACCGATTTTGATGACCTTTGCCAATACGGATCAAGATCGGCAGGCTCGAGGCTGGCAGCAAGAAACACGATGCATTCTCCATAGGATTGGGGTTGCGGTTGCGGGTCGTGTGAAATTCGAGTTCCATTGCCACAGGAAAACCTGAAAAGTCCTTCTTAACAATCTCATCGCAGGATTGCAGTTGTGAGATAAGTGGTACGCGCGGGCAATCCACCCGGCGGCCGCTGGAATACCTTGGACACCCGGGTAGCGCGGGTATTGTTTTGTCGAACATGCTCCGAAGAAACCATGGGTGATTACTCTTAACAACCACGCACAGTTGACGTCTTAAAAACTGGAAGATCTCTGCGTTGATTTGTCGGCTCAATGTGAGCAGCTTACATAATGGCGATGAGGGTGCAGACGCCTGGGGAGGTACATCTAAGCGGCGGGTTCTTCGACCTACACTTCCCGTCTCGGCATTTGAATGATACGGATCGTTGTATCCAGCTGGAGTGTAGGTCAAGAGCTCGTGATAAACCTGCTCACGGATTGTGATCGGTAAAGTCTGGAAAGTGTTCATTAAGAGAGGCTAGAAGTGGTAGTAGTGTCGTGAAGAGAAAGTGGTGTCCCTCATAACTCGAGAAGAAAAGGCGATGTAGCCTGCAGCTATACCTATAAGGCTCTAGCGTGGTCCCAACCGCATGATTAGGCAACCAAGATCCTTAGACTTGCACGTCTGACAGATGACTTACATTATACCTAAATTGGGCTGTAGCGATATGTACCTCTTATCGAATGCTGCAGCTTCATGCAAGGCGAAATGACGTGTTGTGCTGCGCCTAGGTAATTACCTAGGTACAAAAGGGCCACTCGTGTCCACCATGGTTATAGCCAAAGCACTTGCTGCTCACCCAGGTAGGTAAGCGCAATGATCCAACTACCTGTCGAACTCCAACGGGGTTGCATCGATTTCCTTTCCGACGATTTGGCGACACTTAAGGCCCTTCGCCTAGTAAACAAAGGATTCCACGAATTGGCCTCCGAGAGTCTCTTCCGCACAGTATCCTTCACGAACGTCGGAAACAGCCCTGAAAGATTCTTGAATATCATTCATTCCTCTTTGCGAAAGCATGTACGTCATGCCATCATCAATACTTCCGAGCACCCCGACAGGGAGCAGAATGAGGAGGATGAGGATGAGGAGCAGGATGACGACGATGACGACAACGGGAGATATCTAGCGGATGGACCAGACATTCTCTGTACCTTCGCTGACGCCATCACACAACTTCCACAGTTGGAGAGTTTGAAGCGGATAGAGCTAAAGTTCTCGAGCATTTGCACCGTGGAGGACTACACTCACACCAGATACAGAGATACTATGCTGCAAATTAGAGAGGATGAAAATTTCCGGGCGAAGATGCAGGACCTTTGCTTCCAGGCTTTGGCGCAAAGCGAGAGCTTCGAGAGTCTTACGATCCAGAACTTGCAGGATGCAATGCCTCAGGATGTTATGGAATCAAAAAGCTTCCTAGCCGTCAGAGAGCGCTTAACAGAACTGCGACTGAGAATTCTGAGGTACCACGTGGAACCGGAAGGTGGACAGAGCACCTATGCAGACGCGCAGCACAATGGTTTAAGACGTTTTCTCCCGAAGTACTGGTTGAAGCCCACCATCAATCAACTCACACGGTAAGTCCCTCTGTACAAGCCTGGAGCTATATGTGAGTCATGTTCTGATTTTGTAAATAAATCTCTAGTCTTACGCTCGATTGTGACTGCCTCTGGGGCGTCTGGCCTTTCACGGACTTCCGAGAGGTCGAACCGTTTCCACACCTCAAGTCGTTGTGTTTTGGCAATTGGACCATCGCGCATGACTGGCAGGTCGACTGGATCGTCGCGCATGGAGCTACACTGGAAAGTCTACTTCTTTGCGGTTGCGGTGTTGTTCGTTATCTGGCTTTGCTCGACAGGGGAATGAAAGCGAACTTCCCTCAGCTACTTCCACAAACGGGTGACGACGAGACTGATGATGAGGATGACGAAGGGATTGATGATGAGGGTGACGATGAGTTTGACAGCTTCGGTCTTTCTTATGGACCTGAATGGGAGATTGAGCCGGATATTCGTTGGCATCAAGTATTCGAACGCTTCCGAGTTGGCCTCCAACGTCTTCGGTACTTCAAGTCGGGCTATTCGCAGGATTATCCCTTCGATAGCCGCTACAACATGCAGCCCGATCACCCCATGAATGCTTACTACTCCCTTGACTGTCGCAAACCACCGGGATTCGAGCCAATTGGGTGGGACGTCTACGAGCCTGAACTTGAAGAAGAAGCTCAGCGTAGGCAAGAGACAGACCTTCAGGAGGAGGATCGGCGTGCTCTGACTGCACTGATGGAGACAGTGGAACAACGGGTTGTTGAAGCTATTTGAAGTCGACCAAAAATGCAACATCATGTCGACTTAGACATGCTTTCTCATGCAAGATTTTCCCCACCAGGGGTGGATAGAAATCATGAAGCACTTTGCCCCTTACATACGTCTCAATCTTAATAAGTTAGTAGTCCCCAAGATAAGGTATACTTCTCGGAGAGCCAAATGATATCCTAGGAGAATGTGACACGAATTGTAGCCACCCCTAGTTGACACATCTTTTCAAGAACGGTCCCATACGGTAGCTGAGTACTATCTCGGTGTGTTCATTGCTGAAGGCTCCCGAACTCCGCAATCGCGCAGTCTTTTCCCTGAAAAGAAACTGAGAGCGTCTTGCTATGTTTGCCAGATTCGCGTATACTGACATCGAAGACACCGGGTACAACCATAGGCCTTCTGAACTGCACCTCCATCCATGAGGAAGTGGTGAACGGTGGCTGCAAGCTTTTCGAGTCCGTCAGTAGATGTAGAGCTTTAGCGACTGTGTGATTTCCATGCGCAATCTTTCCAGATAGACCAAAGGCCTTCGCCGCCGCTCCCGATAGGTGGATGAAGTTGTAGTCCTTGCAAATCGCAGCCCATTTCAGCGGGTCGTCGACTGACATTGATACCTGTGTGGTGCTCTCAGACATCTGTGGTATCGCCATGCTATACCTGGTCGCATGTGAACTGTTCCGGATTTTCTTGGACTGTGACTTTCTTAGTTCTAGCATGGTGAAGATCTGGCGAAAGATGATATCCATAGTTCCATCCTTCCTACCAGTGGGAGTGGTGATCACGACCTCCAGATCCCACTCGATACCTCGTTTTGCTGGTCGTGGGTAATTACTTGCAATCGCATTCAAACGGGCTGTTCGTAGATCTACGAGTCTCGACAGATCGCATAGGTCGGGGCGTAATATCTCGAACCTATTGCGCACGTTTACTGCGCCTAGTGGATTGATGGGACACCAGGGACTGGCGAGTAGAAGTAGCATTGCGGGCTCGGTCATGGCTGAAAGGAACAGCATAAGTTGCGGTGCTGAGAGCTCTTCTCCTGTGTTGCTTGTTCCTCCAACTGCTGCTTGATACCGAACAACATCGTCTGCACCTAGAGTGAATGGGGAGTCAAGCTCTAATGCTGAAAGCTTGATGCGCGGAAACCCGGGAATTGCGTAGAAAATTGACTTTGCTATCATTGACAAGATCGCTAGCACGACCTCCCCCATCCGAAGTGAGGCTGGGGAAAATGCCAGAGTGACTCTTCTTGGGTTGAACAGCAATGGCGTCAGGCGGTACCCGAATGAGACGAGCACGCCGAAAAACATGCCCGATATGAGAAATAGTGTCATGCTGGAAGGCTTGCGATGTATCCGATGCTCCTACGTACATGTGCAGGTCGTGGATGCCAGATGCAGAGGACCTCGGGAGTGCCTCCGTAGCTAGCGGCGCCGATGACGTCATCACTGATGTGGAAGGCACAAGCGCAGCACCCAGTCACCTTCATGCCCACTGCAAGTGCCACCCATCGCATCGTGCCAAAAAGGCAAGAGTCAAAAGTTCTCCACGACGAGCGGCCTCGTCCGTTTGCTCAACCTCTTCGACCCAGCCCTCTCCATCCAAAGCTCATCCGTCCTCGCGAGACCCACGATGGCGCACCTTCTCCAACACTTTCGATGCCCACAGTTCGGGCACTTGTTTCCGGCGCGTGCGAACGACCATATTCTCTCACCTAGAGAAATTAGCAAGTCTTGATGCGAATGACCGAGGCAACATACAACGATGACAGCACCAGCTGTAAGTCGCGTCTGGGTTTGCATTGCTTGCAATATTTCCCATAGCTGCATGCGGTCTTTCCTGCGATCTGAGAGGACGTAAGGCTCGGTCTCTTTGAGCTAGTATGGACGACAGGTGCGACAGAGATATTGTGTGCGGTTCGACCAAGTGCTACACATGAATTGAAGCGCTGCCAGGCTTGAAGACAGAACTTCTGTGTGTGGGTATCAGATTTACACGCTACAGTAATGGGAACGAGAACATGATTCGGGGCCCTTGAGATGTACCAGAGCTCGCGCTGTCTGCTTACGTTGCTTCCACATTCACAGATCACCGCCAGCACGATCTGTGAACACTGAAGATCTTGCGAGCCGTTGTACGACGTGCGCCCGAAAGCTAGGCTGTCGAGATACGTAGTTCGGGGGCTTACTTCATAGGGCCCTTCATTCTAGGGGATGTTGTCTGGTTGGTAGACTACGAAGATCAGGGCTACTTTGATGTGCCAGGAAGATCCAAGGGCAGTGTTACTGATACAATTTGTAGACTACCCCCGAAATGGCATATGGCCAGAAATAGAAACGAACTAGGGCCTAGGTTGATAGTTCCCCTGCCAGAGCTCTGCCGGGCTACGATCTGAAACACTGCCAGGCATCTCTGCAGGGCTGTGAATTTGGCCCTCTGCTTGATGTTGCCAGTCACCAGCCATTTCGGAGACGTGCGTTGACGGTGCGGGGCGCACAACCGTCTGAGCGTACTTTGCTTCTCCATCCTGGTACGTGGAATCTGCCGGGTGGTAAACGTATTTATCTTGTCCAATATCCGCATCCGCTTGTTCCGTACTGACATTCTTCCGTTTTTTTTTGAACAAAAACCATAACAGCGCCCCAACTATTGCCATCCCAACAATCGGCCCAACGACCGCGCCAACTATCCAGTTTTTACTCGAAGAATCTGGGTCTTGAGCTGATGGTATGTCTGTTGTTACTGAAGATGGCGTTGCGATTGTACTCGTGTTGCTTGGAGTGGTCGAAGACTCGAACGTTAAACTTGACGTACCTACACCCAGGTTTAGCTCACAGACTTCGCTTCAAGCTACTCATGACTTACTGCTCGGTCTAGCTGTGACTGTATTAAAGATGGTAGATGGTTCAGGCGGCCCGCTAATATAGAATCCCGACGACGATATCTGTTCCGTGAACGGGTCTTCTGCGCCAACGGGTGTGAAACGTAACACCCAGTAGTCGTTGGCTATCAGTGCGGAAGAAGGTATGTTGACATCCCACTGAAACGATGTAGTGCTGGTTATATCAACGCTTCCTACATAGCCTTTGACTTAGTTACTGCGACATCACACATTTAGAGTCGAACGTCTTCACTCACCAGCGATCTTGAACTTGTAGCTCTGATCCATGAAGCTTGTGACCCAAAAATCGAGCTTCTTGACATCGCACGAAGTACAGTACGTCCCGAATGCATCTTGAAGCTCGGACTTCCAGCGTATAGTAAATGGTGCACCACTTTGCAAGCTCGTAGATCCGTTTGGAGTCGCAGGCGCAGTCCAGCTGTCCTGTATGGTTTGACACCATGCACCAAAGATGAGATTAGTATACAAGAGGAGCAGCGCTAAATGTAGAGCCATCTTCGCGCAGGGTATGAGGACACGAAGTCGCGTAATGGTAGACGAGAAACTTGCAAAGACGCTTCTTCTCGGCGCAATGGTGATCGCCTGGGTATATTGACTCCGAACACCCGGATGAAGAGACAGTGCAGCTTCATCAGGGGCTAGCAGCGCATATGAGGGAAGTTACAAGTTTTGGAATTGCCAAAAGGATTCATGGCGGACGTATTGTGATAGAACTTGACCAATGAGCGGGTCTGTTGCGATCAGGAATCAACTACGCCACAATCTTGCAGAAGTCGGAATCCGAGCGTTACGCGCAGCGCGTCGCACACCGCAAGTCGTCAACGCTGGTCTATATCAGGAGGTTATGCTGTGGCGTTCGATAACATTATTTGAACTTAGCGTTATCATTGTAAGAAACGACATGGGACCTCACGACAAGCGCCGATGTTCTTCGAAGCGATTGGGGCGTAACACGGCCCCTAGAACCGTTTGCGGCACAGGTAAGAGGTGTCTTACGCGCCGTAACACGAAACAGTCCGAGCACTATAATAGCATTGCAAGCTGCAAGGTATGGCACGGCGCGCGTCAAGTTTCTGCTCAACTCCTCTTCCTTCATCCATGAGTTTCGCGTCAAGTTCTCGCGCCTGCACCTACGAGAGATTGATCATGTTTCTCAGAAAATGGAGATGGAGTGTCATGCTCCTGGTGGCTTTCATTTTTCTTGTAACCATCACCTCTTTTTCCGCTCCGTTCACATCATCGAGGACTTCCATCTTCCCATCAGGCCACCATGAACATGCTCCGAGCTCGCATGCGTGTCCAACAAGACCGCCCATGCCAGCAATAACTCCAAATACTGGAGATCGCTTCAACTGGAGAGCAATCTCGATCCGACACCCAGTTGATGAGTATGCGCAGCTATCCTCACAAAAGCCTTTGTCCAGGAGCACTTTGCAAAGATCTCCGCATCCAAAGTCGCCAGGTGCCGAAGCGATTGCTGGTAGACGAGCGGCTGTCAAGGAGACCTTTCAACGATGCTGGAAGTCTTACAAAGAACGCGCATGGATGAAAGATGAACTGGCACCCATGTCGGGCCAGCCTCGAGATACCCAATTTGGTGGCTGGGGAGCTACGTTAGTCGACTCACTAGACACTTTGTCAATCATGGGGATGGAAGACGAGTTCGCCGAAGCCGTCGAAGCAGCCCTGAAGATCGACTTCAAACCAAGCGATGATCGCGAGAGTGAGATCAACATGTTTGAGATCATCATACGCTACCTGGGGGGCTTCATAGGCGCTTACGACGTATCTGGTTGCCACGACACCCGCCTTCTGAACAAGGCTCTCGAAATAGCGGACATGGCTTATGCGACCTTCGATACACCCAATCGGATGCCTGTGTCGAGATGGAAACCCGGGAAGGCGGCGGATGGCGAAGAGCAGCTGCCAGCGCTCTCAGTACTCATAGCTGAAGCCGCTTCCGCTAGTGTGGAGTTCACTCGCCTCTCCCAAATCACAGGGGATATGCGGTATTTCGACGCCATCTCCAGGGTTACGGACGTACTTGATGAACAGCAAGGGTCCACAAAGCTTCCTGGAATGTGGCCGATCAGCGTCGACATGCGGACACCCAACCTGACTTTCGACGCTTTCTTTGGGCTGGGTGCCATGGCCGACTCGGCATTTGAGTATCTGCCGAAGATGTATCAGTTGCTCAACGGGAACGAGCCGGCTGACCAGTATCGCAAGATGTACGAATACGCGATGGATACGGCGATAAAGTACACCATGTTTCGACCCATGGTGAAAGACAAGGCCGACATCTTGGTCGCAACCGCGAAACATGATGGCCCTGATGGACAACGAGACGACACTGGGCAGCACCTGGTATGCTATGCTGGAGGTATGCTGGCGCTTGGCGGGCGGCTCTTCGACAACCAGACCCATCTCGACGTGGGACGGAAAATCTCTGATGGTTGCGCGTGGACCTATAAGAATGCACCGAACGGCATCATGCCTGAAGTCTTTTCGATGACACCGTGTCCGTCGTTGTCAGAGTGCGATTACACACCAGGCGCAAAGCCATTCAGCGCAGTCCACGATGGCCGTTATATTCTCCGGCCAGAAGCGATCGAGTCGATCTTCTACATGTTCCGGCTCACGGGTGAGACCAAGTATCAAGAGATCGCGTGGGACATGTTTCAGGCGATCGAGGCGAATACGAAGACTGAATTCGGCAACGCCGCGCTCCAAGACATTATGTCGACCCCGCCACCAAAGAGTGACAGCATGGAGGTAAGTCCTAGATACGCGATGCTTCCGAAACAAACGCTGACTTAATCTCGTCGCCTCCGCAGAGCTTTTGGTTGGCCGAAACCCTCAAATATTTCTATCTCATCTTTAGCGATCACGATGAAGTTAGCTTGGACGAATTTGTCTTTAATACTGAAGCGCATCCATTTCGGATACCCTACCGATAGTGTCTTGATTATGTCGGCGCAGGATGAGTGGGGTGGTTTCCTGTGGCGTTGGTTTAGGATCGCGAACGCGCATTGTAGGAGAGAGTCAATATACGAAATTCGGCTTGGATTCACATCTCATATGAACAGCTGCGTTGGGTTAGGTAGCTCTGGGTCGACACTCCAGGGCTGCTGGTGGCAGCTGAGTCTGACGCGTTGCGCGTTGCGCGGCGTTGACCGGGTGGATCCGAAAGAGGGAAGACGGCGCCGGCACCGGCCAAGCTTTCCCCGAAAGCTTGAGCACGGATGGCGTTGCTTCGAGTCTCGACTTTCGACGCGCACGACACGCGTGAATACATTCTGTACAGAATATCCTGGATATTGCGAGCCTGAAATTTCCGGGCACTTGTTCCTCATCACATGCCGATAACTTTCTCCGTCGTGCTCAACGCATGCCTAGTGCATGCCAAACGTTCACTGTAGCGCGGCGATGCCCGCTCGTCGGTATTTGACGAAGATGTTCAACCTCGGTGTGCCGCTGCCGAAGTCTGCTTCCGTTCGCTAAATGATAGGATGACGAAACCTAGCGACGACGACACCGTGACGAGGACGGTTCGCAACCCCTGCCTGAAACTAGATAGGCTGGGGTCCGGCCAATAATCCTACCATCTGGGGTCTCCACAGGGGGTCTCCGCGAAAGTCTTCTTCCGCGGGTATCGGTATGGGGAAGGACGGGTACACTGTATGGGGTTGCCACCCAGACGCGTGCGCACTCGAGATTGCTGGTCTTTCTCCTACTTGCTACTCATCCCGCAACCTATGCCTAGGGCTGTATCACTAAGACCACATCACAGTCATGGAGAACGACAAAGAGGCCATCTCAGATAAGCCGATGACTAGTGAGGATCTAGAGCATGCAAACACTCATGGCACGTATCTCGACAATGACGAAGTATCTCACCTTTCCGAGGAGCATCGACGGTACCTGTTGGAAAGACATGGCACGCTTGAGCTTGACCCCATACCCACCATGGGTACGGCCGATCCATACAACTGGCCTCAGTGGAAGGTAGGTCATTACGCATTCATCAGTTCGATGTCTACTGACAATGGGACTAGAAAGTGATGAACCTCCTCTTTGTCGCCTTCCACGCCATGATGTGCGCGTTTCCTGCTGCTGCGATCATTCCAGCCTACGAGAACATATCCGAAGACCTAGGTGTCAGCCTCCAAGGAGCATCTTATCTTACGTCTCTCCAAATCGCCATCCTTGGTGGCGCTCCACTGTTCTGGCGGCCACTCTCCACACGCTATGGACGTCGACCAATCTTCATCATCTCTTTGATCGGCAGTCTAGTCTTCAACGTCGGCTGCGCGAAGAGTCAAACATACGCTGCCATGGCTGCTTGCCGAGCTCTCCAAAGCTTCTTCATCTCACCCCCGAATGCGATCGGCAGTGCCGTTGTGGTCGAGACGTTCTTCAAGAGGGAAAGAGCAAAGTTTATGGGTATCTGGACGGTTATGATTACTTTGGGTATACCTCTGGCGCCGCTAATCTTTGGTTTTGTGACCTACAACGTCGGTTACCGCTGGATATATTGGATCCTCGCAATCGTCAACGGCGTTCAACTCATCCTGTACACGCTCTTTGGGCCCGAAACGCGCTTCATCCGACACAATAACGCACAACACGCGCAGTTCGGGTTTGCGGCCTACAAAGAGATGTATCTCAAGTTTCGCCGCATCGATCCTACACCCATCACCGCCTCGGAGTTCATATCACCACTTCGACTATTCAAGTACCCATGCGTGGTCATCCCTGCATGCGCGTATGCAATGGTCTTTCTCTTCGCTTCGGTCCTCGCGACCGTTGAGATTCCGCAACTCTTCGGCGAGAAGTTCCACTTCAACGCACAGCAGATCGGCTTACAGTTCGTGGGTGTTATCATTGGTACGATAATCGGCGAGCAGATTGGTGGACACTCGAGTGATCTCTGGATGCGATGGCGCGCAAAGAAAATGACTCCTCTCCGCCCTGCTCCAGAGTTCCGTCTCTGGCTGAGCTACTTCGGCATCCTTCTCACCATCTGTGGCGAGGTTGTCTTTCTCGTTCGCATAGAGCAAGCCCCCGATCTGGATTGGAACGTAACGCCTATTGTCGGTGCAGGCATAGGTGCAGCAGGCAACCAAATCGTCACTACTGTCCTGATCACATATGCGGTCGACTGCTATCCTGAAGAAGCTGGTAGTATTGGCGTGTTTGTTACTTTTGTGAGGCAGATATGGGGCTTCCTCGGTCCATTCTGGTTTCCTCCGATGTTTGAAAATGTAGGTATCGCGAACAGTGCTGGCATCGTCGCGGCATTGCTGGTTGGCGTTAGTTTGATCCCTGTCATGTTCACTCATTGGAAGGGCCATACGATGAGAGGTCACATGTCGGAGAGGATGTAAGACCAGTCGGACATATCTCCTTGCCATTGTGTCCGATGCAGAGCTACGCGTCTCTGGGTAGCGCATGAACACGTCAATGATAACCTGCACATGAGAAGCACGCGCATCTCCAGCTGATTCCTTGTTGTTGAGTCATCGTATTGAAGGCGATAGTAAAGGCACTATAGTACATGCACAATTTTGAACCTACAGCTTCGCTTCCAACCCCTCCTTCTGACACAGTTCTTCTGCCTCGGCCACAACATCAATACCATAGACTTGCGCCTGAATATCTGCATCTGCCCACTTGTCCGGCACCTTCCCAGATCCAGACTTCAGCGCCGCAAAGATCTTATCGCGCTCCTCCTTCGCCTTGCCAGCTCCAAGATGCATGTCTCGCCCGTTCTGCGCGGCGAGCTCAACGAGTGCTTCCGCTCTTGGCTTCCTCAGCTTCTCATACAGACGAAGTGCGTGCTCGATGGTCTGCGGCTTCCCGTCCGCGATCCGCTTGGGAGAAAGCACGACACCCAGCACAGCGCCGTCTTCAATCGCCTGAGCTGCACCTTGGGCCATGTGCGGGAGCGTCGGATGGCAAGCGTCACCGACCAAGGCAGCTGTACCGTGCACCCACGTCACCAACGGATCGTGAACTCTCAACTTCCACTCTACAACCTCACCCTCCGGTACCAGGTTCAACATGCGATGTATCATCGGACAGAAATCGCCGTAAACGTCCAACATGGCCTTCTTGCTGCCTTTGGTTGTATATTGCGCGTCTGGTGCTCCGGCAAAGTTGATATCGGGCTGTGCGGTGGAGATGTTGTAAATCTGCTTGTTGTGGATTGGATAAGCGATGATGTGTTTCTTCTCGCCAATCCAGCGTGTTACTGTGTCAGACTCAATCAACTTCAGTAGCTCGGGGTCGTTCTCCATCTGGTCTCGGGTCAACATGATTCGGTATGCAGCCTGTCCTGAGTCGCAAGCCGCGCCCGTGTGGCCGAGTTCCTTGAGCATGGCGACGCGGGTAGAGCTCTTAACGCCGTCCGCACCGAGCAAGATGTCGCATTCGACTTGTTGCGGCTCTTCGCTGCCCTGAGCTGGTGTAGTGGTGAACTTTGGCCTCGCACCAAACTGTACGTTGGATATGTTGCAGCCCAGCTTGAATGTGATGCCACTTTCCTTCTTGCAACCCTCGTAGAGGCCATTTGCTAGACTCGCTCGATGGCCAACCATGTGTGGGTATCCATACTTTTCTCGCACGTATCCAAGATCTACGTACCCCAGCTCCTTGTCTGTCGAGCCTTCTCGAATTGATGTATTTGCGCATTGAACTGCCTCGTCGCGGATCGGTCCCCAGCAACCTAATCGGTCGAGGATGCGAGCCATATTTGGTGCGAGTTGGATGCCGGCGCCTACGAAGCCCATATTCGTTGCGTTTTCATATATCGTGATGTTCTTGTGACCGGCTTTTGCGAGAGATAGTGCTGCTGCTAGGCCGCCCATGCCTGGAGTACGTTAGCTATCATGATGGGATGGGCGATGTCATGTCGGGGATAACTACCTGCTCCAACAATCGCTATCCTAGTATTCTCTGCCATCATGTGAATAATGCGCCTCTGTCTCGCCACTTGATGTACAATATCTGCTGGTATAGTAGAGGATGGAGCGCTGCTGATGCAATGTGGTTGCTGGTTGTTGTTGAGTTGGTTTCGCCGAAGACAAGCAGGGAACGTCCCGACAGCTCTTAAGATTCTGCTCAAACGTTTCTATATCTCGGTCTCTTGCTTTTGCTCCAATCCCTCCACAAGTTCCGAGCTCCTTCCCGCGCGTAATGTTCAGCCACCGGAAGATAGCTTAGCCGGAACGTTCCTACCAGGGCTTCCGAAGCTGCCTCCGGACCTTGAAAAGCACTACACGTCAATATCGGTCGCGATAGCCGAAGTTTATCTAAGTCAACTCAGTAAGCACTTCTTCGATAAACATATATCGGGGAAGCTGTCGGCCCGAATACGTCCACGCCTGGGGAGCTTGCTGTTCCAAGGTTGTCAGCTACCGGCTGCACACCCCACCGTGGCGGGGCAACGGCTAGCGTCTTTCTATCTCAGCGCCCCACCGCCATCAATGAACGCGCGAGATCCGGCAAATGCGGAGTCGCGGAGTGTGGGTGAGCCGTTCTTACATGTTACTATCGCATCGGCTGTGATTGCACGATCTCGAGGTAAGCTCAAGACGCTGTGCTTAGAGATATTGAAGATGCGCATGAGTCCCGACGCCAGATCGCTTCCACTGCGCGACAATATACCTCCAGGGACATGAACTGATGCTGCAGTTCCTGTAAAGCATTAATCGGGCGTCAGACTTGATGGCTTAAGCAGTTCGCGATCTTGCCAACATTATACCTTTACTCGTACATCATATGCCTGGTAGGCCTTGTCGCCTACTTAGAGCCGTGTCGATAGTCTCTTGTGGGCGTTCTTTTCAACGCTTGTCGCAAGGACGCGTGTAGAAAAGCCTAAGACAAGAAGAGCATAAAAAAACGTATGTTTTACTATCTCTTCATCGCGTCGCGATGGGAATCTGGGAATCTACATCGAGCCGCAAGTCGACTTCAGTCCCGTGGATACGCGATGGGGCTGCATACCCCGCGCTAGCTCAGGGTAGGATGTGGGGTGACTTCCCGAATCATCTCACAAGTAGACTGAGAATTTCGCATCTTTCGTGACTTCAACAACGATAACAGCTTATTCGTCGAAGACTTTACGGACGACTGCTGTGAGATCATTGGATCTGTGATCAAAGACGAACAAACACCTCATCATTACGTGTCGCGAAGCTCACGTAGAGGAAAAGGGTTCACCCGAAACTCTCTTTAATCTTCGGAACACGATCGGAAGACCAGCCCGAAGACAGCGTGACCTTCGGTGTCAGATAAATCACCTGGAGCTTGCTACCTCTGCAGTGGTGATCTAGAACAGTAGCTACGCGGAAAAGGCTTCTCCCTTTGGCCCAGCATACCTTTGCAGACAAAAATTCCAGGACGAAAAGGAGTCCACGGACCTGAACACAGCGACCCTCGATAATGGCTCGACGAAGCTCATTTGATCAAGCATCAGACGGCTTCCGGGCCCATCTACCAGACCTCACCAGTCCGCGCTTCACGACGGCCGCAAAGCAAAACATCTACGAATATGTTCAGTCAATGCAAGACAACCGCGCCCCACCATGGCTGTACGATCTGACTAAAGTCTGGGAGAAGTTATTGGAAGAATCGTACAAAGGCATCACAAATGACGGTACTGTAAGGGAGGGTCTATATCAAGCACGAGACGAAGGTGTAGATGTTGATGGCCCGGTCAAGAAGGCGGAAGAACTCCTCGCAGCTCTGAGTAGCGAGCAGAAGGGCAAGATTTCATACCCAATCAATGCCAGAGAGTGGAGGGCATGGAGTAATCCAGAGTTCTTGCTGCGGCCATTCGGGCTCAGGCTCGAAGAAGGTAAGTCTCAAATCTACCAAAGCTACGACCTTAGGCTAACTGCTACAGTCCCTGAGAGTATCGTGCAGTCAATACTCGCAGTGGTAGAGGCATCTCTTTCCCCAGAAGGCTACGAAAAGGCTATCGCGGCCATGCGGGTGAACCATTTCTTGGGCGAGGTCGTCAAACTGCCCAACATCTTGAACAAGTACTCTTACAACTTCCTGCTGTTTGGTACGCCATCGACCTCCGCTTCCTCTCCTTGGGGCTGGCTCCTCTATGGCCATCATCTCGACATTTCCTGCTTCTACAAGGGAAGCCAGGTCATCATGAGTCCATCGTTCACAGGTGCCGAGCCCAACATCATCGATGACGGAGAATGGAAGGGTACCAAGATATTACACAAAGAAGGCAGCCTGGGTTGGAAGCTGATGCAGAGTCTCAGCCACGAGCAACAACAAAAGGCACAGATCTTCAAGAAGATGAGAGATGAAGGCATGAAGCAAGTCTACGGCAACTCCAACAATGACGAGACTAAGCGAGATGAGCTCATTACCGATACGTGGGGCCCAGATGACCAGCGCCATCGATGCGGTGCCTTCCGCGACAACCGCATCGTACCCTACGAGGGCGTTCTGGTCTCGTCTCTCGACTCGTCACAGCAAGAACTCGTCCTCGCCATATGTGAAGAGTTCCTGCTATATCATCCCACGAAGGCGCGCCAACACAAGCTCGATCAGATCAGACAACACTTGAGCGAGACCTACTTCTGCTGGATCGGGGGTTTCGGCGAAGACGACGCTTTCTACTTCCGTGTCCAAAGCCCAGTCATTTTGGTCGAATTTGACCACCATTCCGGAGTATTCCTGACGAACAAGGAGCCAGCGAAGTACCACACGCATACTATTGTGAGAACACCAAATGCGGGAGATTACGGACAGGCTATTAGAGAAGGAAACGAAAAGTTAGAGTGAGCAGGCACTCGATGCAATGTAAATAGGGCGTGTCGCAAGAAGAGACATGGTACTCATGTCGTAGATCTCCGTTGTGATGCGTATGTTGAATTATGAGAGGCTGCAATAAATACCACACCTATCCTCCACTTCCAGGCGCCGGCCTCGTATCACCAACGAGATTCGTATACTTCACATCCACCTCAAGAACTCCAAACCATACATGTCGCCCATCCCTTTGCTCGAATCTTACTTCGCCCTCTAAAGTAACGAACTCCGCTTCCTCACCTGCCGGGAGATAACTCTCGATTACCCGTATCAAGTCCTGTTTAGCAACCTCATGTCTACGTTCTTGCTGTTCATCAGCATCGCCTCCTGCAGCAACCGAATAGTGAATAGCCACTTCTTCCTGTGGCATAGTGGGAATCCCGGCTATTAGTGCGAACATATTTCCGGCGTCATCATAGCGAGGAGTCTTAGCTCTTACGTACGTAAAACCTGGTCGTTTCTGCGTCGATAGATGATCGTAAATCTCCACGTCGCCTTTGTAGGTTGTCGGATAGAGAGAGAAGCCGACGTGGATGTTGGGTTTAGCTGGGATGTCTTTTGGGGTTACGTAGCGGACGATCACGTAGTACTTTTCATCCACCTTGTAGGGGCCTTTGGGTGCCATATGTTGAGGTTGTTGACAGCTGAACCTGTGAAGGGGGGGGGTTGACTTATAGGCTAAGTGTTTGCCAGGAGCTGATTTGCCTGACCCATGTGATACTGTGTAAGCACCAAGCAGCTCGATAATCGTTTCGTTAGCATGAAACCACCTCAGGTGCACTCATAGACGTACGGAGATAGTCGTGCCGCGGATAATTGACAATCAAATGACGTAGTCTACTAAGAAGTGATGATGTGACTACTGACTAGTTACCTCAAGTTCCTGCTACCTTACACTTGCACAACCTCATGCGGTGTGTGCGTTTACAGTTCCAATATCGTATCTAAAGTACCGACGCTGGGGCCCCTCAGAGTCAGCTTGGATAATAGCCATAGTTTCGATCCAGATAGGCCCATCATCTCCAGGTTGCAGCATACCAACTGTGAAGTCCAATCTGATGTTACCACGCAACATAAGCTGCTGTAATTCTGTCGCTAATAGAGCGCGCAGATCCTGCTCCGCCTCCTCACGCTGCTCCCTTGGTTGGCTGGCTATCCTGACTGTTGTCTCGTCGTCACGGATTACTTTAGCTGTGATCATAGCCATGGAAGCATGTACACCATTGTAGAAAGGATTTGCCACACAATGCCAGTTGACGCTGGCATCGGCAAAGAACGCACGCTCCTGTAGGTTCTGGAATCGCCAAGACTGGACGACAAAGCCTGGTACTATGTTTTCACTCCTGTTGGCGGTGCGGATAACCATGTAGACTGGGGTGGACATCTTGGGTTATCTTGTGAAGAGGATAGGAAGTGGCGCGAACACATCCATAAGAACGGCCGGAAGTGATATACGAGTTGTGGGCTTGCTATATCCGGTCAGATGTCAATTTTGAACGCTTTTTGTGGGCAGTGTGACCAGGTCCGATAAGCCTACAGGCCAAATCGCCATGTCGTTTGGACATGTGGCGCTGCCCGTCCGCCAATTCCCCAACTTTATACTTCAGGACTGCGAGTTGTCCATCTTGAGATTTAGTACTCTTGAACCTGTTGTTACTACATTACTTAGGCTTTCTGGGTTCCAAAATAGCCAAACAGAAGCAGCAGCTGCAATGGTCTAGTGGTTATGACATTCGCCTCACATTGAATGTGCGACGCGAAGGGTCCCGAGTTCAATCCTCGGTTGCAGTATTGTTTTTGCCATTCGCACGTGGACTGGGCTGGGTCGTTGTTGGAGTTGTGACGGATGCAGTGCAGATGGCGGCCATTTGATAAGTGTTTGCTTGGCATCTTACATGTGAGTTCGGGAAGCTAAGGGTCTACTTTTTGGCCAATGCAAATCCTGCGGCATGGTATCCCTTTGTAAGTGAATTAGCTTCGTGTATTGCGATGCCAACACAAGCATGCGCACAGTGCTTGCATCGCGAAGTCAAATTACCAGCCTGAAATTGTTAGATCCGGAGTGGGGCGTGTGCTCATTGTTGACAGTCGAGACGTTGGAGAGTCATGGTCGGCTGCGATGCGGTCATGGTCTAGATCGCGATAATTTTCTTTCAATAAAACGTTGTGGGCATTAATGACGATGCAGGTGTTGATGAAGCTGGTGGTGTTGACGCTGTGGTCACTCCACAGGACGAACAGGTTGCGGAGCTGCACGCTGACATCAGCGTCGCGGGAACCTCGGCCAGCCACGCGATGCGCGTGCTCACCCCACAATCGAAAGACTGCCATCTAACCACGATCAGCACACCACTAACCCCACATGGCCCAGTCCCGTCGTCTCAGCGTCCGATTGGATCTCGGTGGCAGCCGTTTCACCAGCCGAACCCTTTCCAGGCGGCACGCCAGGAGAAGCCGCGATACATGCGCGGCCGGGAAACCCTTTGAAGGGGAACACCCAGTGACCTGGTACGTCAGCGGCCTTTCTGTCTGGGGACGCGACGCGAGAATGCGTCGGACTAAGCTCATCAGTCCATTTGCGTCACGGAGCCCGGTGGTGTCAAGTGCTGTGATTCGTGGTATGATGTACGGGTGTGGTGGAGAGACATGAGTGCACAGCCTACTTGTGACCTGCATTTCCCCGCACGAGGCTATCGTATATACAGTCCGCATACGCCGCGCTTGGGACGTCTCACCGGAACACATTACACGTAGCAAGCCATCAATCAAACACTATATTACCGAAGTCAAACCGCGGCCGATACTTTCACACGTCTTGGCCATCACACCTACCAACGTCAAACACAACCACACCTGGGCAGACCAAGCGACAAGATATAAGTCGAGCCAAAACTACCATCTCGAGGAACCATCACCATACTCGGCACTACTTTCGCCACTACCACACAACCATCAACATGTCTTTCCTCCTCCGCACATCTACCCTGGTACGCCAGAGGCTCTTCACCACCTCAACACGTGCTCGCAGTGCCATCTCCATGGAAGATGCCGCCGCAGCACAGATGACATCCACCCCTGGTGCGAGTGTCGTCCCAAGGCTCGGAAGGGTAGCACGATGGTACGTCTCTCCCTCTATATGACTCCCATCGCCACTAACAAAGACCAGGTATCTCCCGACCATGGCGGCGGTAGCCATTGGTATGATCTACCTTCCCAAGACCGCATCACAGCCTCGCCGACCCCTTACGCTCGGTGATGCTAATGCCAACATAGGCTTTGGCGTGACCAATGCACTCAACGAGGCCAACCGCAAAGTACACTCTGCGCTTGAGCTTACCCAGGAACAAAAGAACCAGATGCTCATGGACTCCTACGGCGAGCGCTCAAGCTTGGAGGACATGGAGCGGGCGATTGCTGGACTCGAGGCCAAGATGACCACCCAGAAGGACAGGAACAGGATCTTGGAAGAGGCATATGGCGACAAGGCCAGCCTTGAGGACCTCCAGAGGGCCATGGAGCTGTACGAGGTGCAGTGAATGAAGCAAGAGAGGGCGAAGAGCCCGAAGAGCAGACCCCAGCTTCGCGCCTTGGAGCGCATACACACTACAGAGAAGAGAAGGATGAAGCCGCGCGCTGAACGCCGCGAGAATCACACCGTCAGGCCACGAGCAGACACCGACATCAAATCAAGGTGTCTGGCTCGTGTACCTCGAGAAGTGACGGAGGAACACGCATTTCACTTTTGTCTCAGCATTTAGCGTTTCTAGCAACTCGTAACAGACCCCAACAATGGGCTACGATTTCGTACTATACCAACATCATCAATACCAATCTACTATGTTAAACACACGATATTCTCGTTCTTCGCTTTCCAGCCGATGCTAGCCTTGTTCGCTGCTCGGTGCATCTCGTCGCTCGAAAATGTCCGACGCCCGACACGTGATCCGACCCGAGTTCTCCCGGCGGCCGCGCTCCATCACAACACCATCTCCGCGCTTGGGTACTCCACATTCCGACGTCGAGATACGAATGCCGTTGTGGAATAGGACCGAACAGCGCCGTGGTATATGTCGCGACAACTGCGGACTTCGTCCAAGCTAGGCTCACCTTGTAGATAAGAATTCCCAGAGGTTTAAGAGAGTCGATATACGCACTAACTAGGCCTGTCTACTCGCGCTTAGTCCTTATCCGTAATTACAAAGCTCCAGATTTCGCGCCACACTCCACGTGCCAACCGCGCTGGTCTTCTCTCCAAAATCTGCTCTATCCGCGCTCTCTCGTTATTCCTCGAAGCCTCCGCCTCCATCTCCTCCTGCATCATGGGGTCCATGCTCACACTAAGATGCACCTGTTCCTGCTTGAACGGGTCTTCCAAGGTGCTCAGAGGACTCACAATGCCATCGTGCTGGGCGTCCATCTCGTACGAACCGAATCGATGTCGCGGGACTGGCGGTACTGAGACTGGGCCTTCGAGCTCGATGCTGGATAGATCTTCCAGGACGTAGTCTTCCACCGTAAGGTTGCGAAGGTCAACTTTGGATGTTCGGGGAAATATGTACTTGTACGAGAGGTACAAAGATCCGAACAAGAAGGGGCCAATGTATGCTCCGAGGACATCGAAAGCGAGGCTGATGGTGGACTTCAGGTTGTCTGTGGAAGTGAGGCTGCCCTTCGCAACAAGAATGACCAGTGGTGGAACGCCAGACCATATAAGAACGAACGCGCTTCCGAAAATTCCGATATATGCAGGCAGTGGTTGCCATCGGGACTTGAAGAGGCGTGACATGTAGAGTGGGTGATTGCGACCGAAGATCTGCCGCCTTGCCAAGCGGTCGAGGCCAGCTTTGAAGCGCAGAAAAGTGATGCAAAGAGTGAGATAGATGCATGCCGCAGTGCCTGTGTACAGTTCGGAGAGTGTGATGCGCGGCTGTGAGCCAGTCTTGTCCGCCAAGCCTATCAGAGACAAGAACCCGAGTGCTGAGCACAGCAAAATGGCCGCCAAAGGTGTATGGCCATTGTTAGTCCGACCAAAGATCTTTGCGATATTTCTTGGAAGGTACTGCTGTGAAAGCATAAAAACGCTACGAGATGCGGCGTAGAGATCGGTATTGGCTGTAGTGTATGCCGATATAATGAACAGCCCGTTCAAAACCTTCGGTAGCGCGTGGATAGAAGACTCTTCGGCCGCGATTACGAACGCTGACTTTGTAGCGTAGTCGCCTCTCGCCCATATCTTCGGAAGCTGCGGGTCAGCGTAGTTGACATTTGCTCCAGCAGCTAGCATCGCGAATGGGTATATGCTGAGCGGAACGATGTAAACGAACGACATGGTGATGGGTACGTCCCTCCAAGGATTCTTTGCTTCACCGACAGTCATAGCGACCAGGTCCGCTCCGAAGCAAGAAAACATGGCTAAGACGATTGAAGTGCTTCACAAGATGTTAGCTCTCTGCGGTATCTGGAGGCATGCTAGAAACCCACATGAGAGCGAACAGTGTGCCTCCGGGGCCGGATATACCGAAAGCTTCATCAGGAACGCCAGCCATCTTGAGAGCGACAGGAGTGGTAGTATTGTGCCCAATTGGCTTCCAGTCCGATGTGAATCCGAAGGTCGTATAATCTGCATTGGTCAGCGTTGTCACACGTAGCCTGAAGATGTTGAACGTACTCGAATGGTATTCTCCTTGTCTCGGGCCGCCGCCTTGGTAGCGTTAGACACATGGCTATGTTGCATTGAAGCGCGGAAGCATACCGGAGAAGTTCAAGACCACACCCATAACACATACAAGGACCAGTAAGCTCAGTTTGAACCACATGACGACCTAAGTGCTCGTCAGTTTGCTGTTCGTATCGAGAGCCGTCGCCAGGGTGACCGAATCCGTGTCGCATGTTGCCGCATACGGATTGCTAACTCTTAGCAAGTAAAACCCTCTAAGCTAACGTATACTTCTAGCTTAGTGATAATTTTGTAAAATGCGGCACGGATTGGAGCTACCCCTAGTGCTGTTCTGCTCAAGGTGACGTACTCGTTCGATCTTGCCATACAGCTGATACAACGTTAGCCAAGTTCGTCCTTATTCAAGAGCACAACTTACCTTGACGCCGAGGCAATGAGAAAGCGTAGTCAGGGCGATGAATGCAATATTGATAGCTGCCTCAGCACCTGCAGAATGCGGTTTCGGGTCGCTCTTCAGAAGCGCAGTCAGCTCCGCCGAACTCGCTGTAAGAGTAGCCATCGCACAAATCTTGCCTAGCCTAATGGTCGTCAGCGACGCCTTTCAGAAGTTTCCTATCGATACTCACCCGTACATAGATGCGATAGCGAAACCGCAGGCTGGGTCTAAGAACGTGTGAGGCAGATCAATGAGAGCTCCGGTCAACGGTCGACATGCAACCATCTCAGTGATGGTGTACATGACGCAAGCGACGATACTACCTGCGACGACATAGCTAATAGCAGCGCCTAAAGATCCAGTAGTAGCGATGAGTGCACCGGATGTAATGAAGATGCCTCCACCTATGCAACCGGATATGCCAATGCCTGGGGAGTTAGCAACCAGCGTACTTGTTGATTCACTCCTTTGGCGCTTACCTGCCAGCTGAGGCCTACTGAGAACACGGTCAAGATGTTCTGAATGGGTCACATAGTATGGCGATCTGTCAAGGGGACGCTTTTCTTCAGCCATTTTGCGTGTGATTCCCAGGCGAATCCGTACCGAAGTACGACCTCGTCAGGCTGAGGATGTTTGCGAACTAACTATGAATGTTGACTGCGACCTTGAACTAGAAAAAGATGCTTGCGCGACGAATGCAAACCCTCGTGACTATTTGGCCTCCATTCGGCACGTCTTCAGCTTCACTCTCCAAACCACCTGTGGCGGGGCTTAGACCATACCGGTCGGCCTCTTTGTCTGCCTTACGTGTTGCCCACCAACGCCAGAGTGACTGGAAAAATAGGCTTCGTGAAGAGGACGGTGCATGGGCACGCGACTTGGTATTGCTGTGATTGGTCAGAAAGGCGGGATATCGGGGAAAGATAACAAAGGTTGCACATGCTCGTATGCACAAGGTAGCTAGGCCAAACTAAGTGCGCCACGGTCGACAAACATTGGTGGATGGTGCAGGACGTCCTCTCAGCCGCGCCTTAGTCGCGTTCCGGTGTACATTTCAGGCTACGTGTTGCAGCTAGGCGACAACTATGGTAATTGATAGGGCCGAACTACATTGTGGAGACAGCGTCCCCCATAGTGATTATTGCTTTCCTCTGGGCGGGCGTTCTGTGTGGACTTCCTGTGCAATACAAACAGGATATTGCCAATGCAGCTGATAACGGGTACGCCGCAAGCGGACGAGATCGCGAGCTGAAAGTATGTCAGATAGTGTCACGTCCTTGACCTACATACATTCAAGGCTCTCCAGGGATGAAGCTTTGGTTAACTCCCAGCTAACGGTTTCCCAGTGATGATTGCAGTTAGAGTGCATTGACGATGTCCATATCCAGCAGCTCTACCGGCCCTTCGGCGCGTCGCTCGTCGTTAGCGATGGACTACTTCCAGGTGTATTCAGCCTCATCAGGATCGCAGTCGAGTAATCTGCTGCAACGACCAAGGCGGCTGTCGTTTCTGAATGCGCCCGATGTCGCGACGTCGATCTCATCGTTAGGATGGGTGGCAACATGCTCATCGAAGCAGATACGGTTATACGACGTGAAGAGCGCGAACAGAAGTCGGACTATCCAGCCCAAAACCGTCTTGAATATTTCGATGATATTGAAAGATGAGGAGATCCGTGGAATTGCCCTCTCGGAGGATCTGCTCGCAGTGATCACCCACAATCGATTGCTGGTGTATGACGAGTATCGCACAAACAACAGCCATGTACCTAGCCTCGTGAGAGAAGAGCGGATTGACCAGGACGGAAACTGGACCCCGAGATCCGTGTCGATCTCACAACTTGGACGCCAGTCTGCCGAGGGAGGGGCAACGGCGAGCATCGCAGTGGGTGGAGAAGGAGTGAGTGCAGTGAAGATCTTCACGTACAGGTACATGCCGGCCTGGAACGTTCAGGGCGACCATGTAGTCCTGAAGTGTCCTCAAAACAACGGTGCTGTCAAGATTGTCGGGTTTTCGCCCTGTCGAAGTGATGCCATCTATGGGCCAATGGTGTTTGCTTTGACAACAGGGAATCACTTGTATTGCTGGATCGTCGCTCGGAACGTAGGCCACCAGCAGAATATTCGCCCGGATCCTTGCTGGCACGTTGACTGCAATGCGAGAAGCAATGAACGCGTAAGTGACATGTTCTAAGACCCGGCGCAAAGCTGACTCCCGGCAGGCGTATCGCGATGAGATAACGAACGCGGCTTTTACCATCTCTCCGAACGGTCGACCCTATATCCTCTGCACCGTCGACCATCAACCACGTTCACACCTCCCAGCGACCTTCCTCGTGGCAATCGACACTCTTGGCTTCGATCCACACGTTCTCCGTCAACCAATAAGGCCCATTCCTGATAGGGTAGTCGGCACGAGCGTTGTCGCTGGAGTTGCGAGCTTCAACGGCAGGTTTCTAGTGGTTGTAGAAAGGGAGAGGAATAGAGACAAGATGAAGCTGCTGGCATTCCAGGGTGCACTCGGGGGTGGCTTGACATGTTCCGCTGCCCATACAACAACGTGGGAAGTCGAGCTGCAGAGCAACAATACCGGATCTTCAACGATCTCAATCATGATAGAAGAGCAGCAGGATGCCCTGGAGATCATCGCGGTGGATGGACGCGGCCATGTCGTCTATTCGGGCGTGAGGGTGCGGGGCACGCCACAGGGCCCAATTCGGCCCATTGCGCCACCTAGAAGCTCCATCGTTTCCGAGCTCCCGTTCGACCCGATCAGAAGAGAATTGTCGTCGGACGAAAGTAGTCGTCACTCTGTCACACCTTCGTATCGGGGGATGAACAGCCTCGAAATTATTCCTGGTTGACTGATGGCGATGACTCGAGCCATTACCATACCCCTTTCGAGAAGTGGTAGATGCAGGCGCGATGGACTGTTCTTGGTACGGGTAGCGGGTAATAGAAGTTGCACGCTGGTCGCGTCAGTATCGCGTCGCGGACAAGTGCCAGCTGACTAAGCCTACATCCGTCATGCCCAGGCACCTTCTCTCACGATCGGCAATCGCAACCCAACTCGCCTTGTACATCCGCTCGCACACACACAACGCCAACAACGTCGCGTTGGCGGAGGAGTTCCCATATCTCCGAGCTCTTATGATCGCCAGCCAAAGGGCAAGATGGTGTCGCTTATGATGGCTCATAACCGTCATCAGCACGCGGCTTGAACGCGATGGGACGACCTTCACCAACACTCCTAAGCTGTTTCTCGGATTGGGCAATTGCCGAGAATTGCGCCTTAGGTACGGCAAGCGTGCTTCGAGACGCATCTTGGCGGAGTAGCAGCGAGTTATCAAGGTTTCCTCGCGCTTACCAGTTTGTTCCCTCAACCCACGCAGCATATCTCGCTTTCCACATGGAGGGCTACTCATGCCAGACGTGCGAGGTGGAGGAAAGCTCGATAGGTGGACAATACAACGTGTCTGGCATATATAGCTACTCACCCTCAACACTCAAGACACTTCTTCTATCACCCATTTCTTCCTACTGATCGCACACTACCTAAGATTCTAGTCATACTCTGACACTCCTGTTCAGTGCTCCAACAAGCCTACACTTCAGCTACCAAGACAGCCCTCTCGAGACGATTCACGGCACGCTCCCATCCAAAGATGATGCTCCGCGCCGCTCTTCTATGCTTCGCTGCACTCTTCTCGCAACACGCTTCTGGCGTACCATACCCACAGCCAAACTCGACATTGCTCGCGAACAACACAATTTGTAACTCCACCGTCCGCTTTTGCGAAGGCGATCCCAACGCCGTCAACCCTCCTCTCCTCGGGTCGGGAAAATACGTATGCCACGAAGTTTACCCGACCGATCTCTCTGTCATCAACGCGCGCTACCCCGATTACGACGTCGACCACCTACACCAAGCAAAGCAGTTCTTCATGCTACGTCGTCAGGTCAAAGATGCTGGAGAAATTGCCACACGTGTACAGTTTCAAGGCCTACCGAACAGCACGTCGAACTACACCTGCCGTCTCGAATTCGTCCTCCCCCGCCTTGAGCTCCAGAAGATCTCTGGCCCGAACCCAAGCTTTCACGTATACCAAGTCGAGCGCGAAGCCGGTGCGATCGCTACATGGAATACATACGAGGCGGAGAAGAACGCGTTGTTGTTCGGTACAGTCAACGGCGAAAGCCAGGCGCTTGAGAGGACAAGGAGTGTCGGCGGCGTTGCAGCTGTCGACGAGACGGCTTGTAACGAGACAATGTCGTTCATGATGGCAATGATGTACGACAGCCCGTCTGCGCCGAACTGCTGGGAGTTCTCGAACGTTGCGCCACCCGCGTTCCCGGTACAGGGGTTCAGGATTGTTTACGGATGTTGAGTGAGGAGTTAGTGCCTATGGCGTAGTCATGAGATGGGGCTGAATGCCATGCGAAGGGGCTAGCACTACACTAGTATTTTGACTGTTTAGCCTTGCTCGTACGACTTCTGCCTCGCGTATTGTGGTCAGTACCTGAATAGCGCTCCAGCACGTACGCGAAGTATTCGCACATCGTGCACTGCATTTTACGGTCTACAGTACCGCGATAAACGAAATGTGACCATGACTATGCCCATAGCGCGGTGACTCTTATGAAATATAGAATTTCCATGTACATGCCTACCATGCGGTCGAGGGTGGACACAAGCGGCTGTCAGTGCGATTTGCTCAGAACATCAAGGCTGCCAGCTTGACATTTACAGCAGCAGCTTCCACTGCTCAAAACAGGACATGACCGTATTTGCCACATGCATATAGCTGCAGCGATGGTTCCATCACCTAAGCAGTGCCCAGTTGTATGGTCGGTTCCTCGGACAGCCATAATCGTCGTTCCACAACCGGACCGTGCACAGTCGCGCACAAGCTTCAGTATCTTCCCCCGTCGACCTTCATCTCTTCCATTCTCTTCCGAACAGCGCCCTCGAAGTTCCAGATGGCAGAACATGTGGGAGACTAATCTAGATGCTGGCGGGGCTGCGGATTCAGCGTTCAGCCTCCATGCAGATGCTGAGCCTTCTGAGACAAACGCGCTTTACGTTCTACATCATGCGCTCTCCTCACCAGTCGCCTTTTCGATTGAGCAATTCCTCCTCTTATGCGTACAGGTGTGCATATACACAATTCCTAGCGCCAACGATAGCATACAACATGCAGTCCGTCTGAGGTGGCGTCTTCGGCTGCAGCGATTGCAGCTGCACAGCCCATATGGCTTTTATCCCAACTAATTAGCTCAACACCGCACAGCCAATGGCATCCTACCAGAGCTCGACTGTGCGTTTGGAGCGCCCAAGGCTGATTTCTTCTCCTCGTTCTGCAGGTGGCGTGGTGGGGTTGCGAGATAGGCGCGTAATTGGAGACAGCCTGGGCGACGGAGTGTTAAGTGACGCTCTCTAGAGTGACTTTATCCACCATATACCTCTTTCTCTCGATATGTCCCTCGTCGCTTTAAGAACTTGAATCTCTACTAATCTCAATCATGGCATCCCACCGTCCGGTCTGGTGGTGGATGTGTTGCAATTGCTACGGCGACAATAGTGTCATTACCAATACAGGCTGCGGGTTTTGCGAAAACCACGAGAGATGCTCACATTGTTCTGTATGGGACAACGCATGGATAAGCTCTTCGGGATCGGAACCATCACAGATAGCATCTCCCAGTGCTTCGTCTTCCACTTCGCGCACTGTTCCCGCTCGCCGACCCGTCATATCTCAGTCGCTACCTCCAAGCGACCAAAAGCATCTGGCAACCACCGCGTCTAAGCCAGGTACATATCTAGCTATAAATCACGATGGGAACTCGTTGCTTATGAAGTTGTTTCATGACACGCCAGGCCAAGCGACGAATGCCTCAAGTATCCATGATCGATCGCGAACGGTTTCCAAGAATGACCCTGTGACGGCTAGAGCATCAGAGCAGTACCGCGACGTATCTCGAACGCGAATTGAAGAGTCTAAGGCTAAGCAACCGACAAGAAGAAAGGCTTTCACCGAAGAACCCGGGGAAAGACGAGATTCCCTAAAGCCTCCTGTGAAGGCGACGGCAAGGCCACTATCCAAATCATCGCCAAAACCGGCCGTCATCAGACAGCATGCTCGTCCCAGATCAAACGCTATGCACGTATCTTCCAAAAACGAAGAAAAGATCAAAATTCCGGTCGTAAGCCAGGAACGTAGTCAAGACAAGGGGAAGGCTAATCCAGGTCTACGAGCTCACATGGTGCCTTCGATAGTCCCGAGAATTCCATCAAGGACTACCAGTCCACGATTGGACATGTCTGCTGAAAATGTCATCGATACAAGACTCCTTGAGGCCCGCGGTCTTACCGATACAAACGGGGAGATTCGTCTTCTAGTAGATACTAACACTCTTTCATCGTTTCGGATCGAAGGCGATTTTGAAGGTCGCACGATGGAAATGAACACCGCCGAGGATGGGATGACAGAGCTAGTCATATCGAGTAGTCACGATCCGAGATACCAAGCCCGTCACAACACTGCTTCAGTGCATGAAGCTGGGTCGGCACGAGATCGAAGAGTTTCAGCCCTTATGTCATCCGTGGAAGCTGGTGACCTTCAGGGTTGCCTTTATACTGAGCAGGCCAAGCTCATGCCGAATGGCCAAAAACGCGACGCTAAGGTTCATTACAGTGATCCTGCCGTGTTCGATGACAGCTCCGATGATGACTTTACAGAAGACGAAACATCTAAGGCATCGATTTCTCCCCGTCGCCGACGTTTTGCTCACGGTCGTCAAGATTTGGCGCCTTCGCATCCTGCGTATGGTGACCCGCTTCCATCTAAACGACCTCGTCGTCGAAGGCCTGTAACCACCCCTTACCGCACATCCCCTCGACCCGCTTCAGGGTGCGGACATCCGTCCGGACCTACTATCATACAACCTGCTGTTGGGACAAAGCCAAGAGGGCCGACGGGAACGGTTCGGCAGGCAAGCTACTCAGGAGAGCCGGGACCGCAATATCATGAGCTTTATGCGCCAGCAGACGATCGTTCTAATCAGTCTGCTCCAAGTGCGTTCTATCCACAAGAGACACATGTTTCATCATGGAGTATTAATGCAGAAAGAGCACATGCGAACAAGGAACAGGCGCGCGTGTCACTAGATCCCGTCTACGCAACGGTTGATCAAACTTCCTCGCTCTATCGCGAAAGTTCGGGGAATTCTGCTCTTCCTGCGCAACCCGCACTTCACTCAACCTCTCATCCACAGCCTCCAATCCCTTCTCGATATGATCTACGACCTGAAAAGGTCACGACGGATAATCATCTCCAACGGGACGAAGAGCCATCTCACAAACAGTCACGGACAGAAACTCCCCTCGCTGAAAAGGAGAAAATTCGGGTCTTGGCTAGGGAACTAGCTCGCTCTGTCGAAGAAGCACTCATCCAACAAGAGCAGATGGACTTCGACCAGAAAAAAAACGATTATCGCAACAGGCTTTACGGAAAGGCGCCGATATCTCCATATCCGCATGAGCAGAAGAGACGCCCATCAACAATGCGTCTACATGCGAGAACGGCGTTTAAGAGTTGTACAAATGAAGACGCGCTGGGAGACACAGTGGTGGATGCGAATGTGATAAATGTCGTAGGATTGGCTGACCCATCCAATTCATCAGCTCATGGTCACGGCACCATTGACACCTGGTTAGACGCGAGAGTCACCGATGATAACGAGGATTACCCTGCCTGGGATTACGGTGACAGTATATCAGGACCATCGTCTTATGCAGCATCGATCGCTTCAGTATTCTCAGTGGCGTCTCTAGCATCCTCAGCATCTGACATGTCTAGAGGCAGTGGTTACTCTGCAGTCCAGATCGCGACAGCTACCAAAGTGCTACTGGCAATCTTCTACGAAGACGAAACTCTATTGTCGCTGTATAAGTGCGCCATTGAAAACCAGGCTATTGGACCGGCAAGGCTGCAGAGGAATCTCCGACGACTGTTCCGAGCATACGCGGGTCTCTTGGAAGGCGAAGCTACAGAAAGACTCGAGTATCTAGCATCGCGGCTTGTGCTCATCAAGTCGGCTATGCTAGCACAGTCCATCGTTGAGAAGTTGCAAAATGGCCGAGCAGCCTTGCCACTATCTCGAAAAGAACGCAATGAAGAGAGTTCCGACGAGGAAGAAGATGTTGCGGATGTACGCCCGGTAAATGAAGACGCCTTCGAGGATTTGGCCATCTTCCGCGAGTTCTTAGTGGAGAGCGAAGCTTTCAAGACATTTCGTGTTCAACTGCAAGCATTCATAGTACCAAAATCGACACATTTGACGCACCTGGAGTCCGCGAGAAGTGGAGACATAGCGAACGCGGCGATAACAGAGGCCCAAGAGATGACCTCGACCTGGCAAAATTGGCGCAACGACTCCGAGAAAAGCACTGGTGGCTTTTTTGGGGGCGCATATGGGAAAATAGCTGCGAGCAGTGTGTTGCTTCGTATGACCGATGCATTCATGTCAGCGACAGATGACGTTATGATTGCCGCAGGTCTACTGGAACCGCCTCTGAGACCAGACACGGTGCGCCTTCGATGGCAATGCGTATGTATTCCCGTTGGATTGAAAGTCTCTTGAGTCTGTTCGGATGCTAAATTTGTAGCAGGCATGCGGCGAATCTCTTCACAGCGACGTTGCGGAGCTTCGCAGAGGAGGCATCGACGAACTCGTTGGCCACATGCGACGTACCTCCGGTGCCAAAGTGCGCGTTTCGGCTCATAGCCATCAGTCTGGAAACCAGCGATACATTGCACCGCATCCCATACAGTGGATCCGAAAGGCCGTCACATCGAATTTTGGTGGCTCCACAATGAGATCTTCGTCGTGCCTTCCCCAGCACAACACACCGTGCACTGCTACCAGTACTAGCAACAACCCACAGCCCCAACAAAGCATTCTTCATCTACTGGCTTGCATGCATCGCAATCGGCTCCGAAAGGTTTTGCAGCAGGAACGGATCGAAGATGTGACTACCGATCGCGCATTACTGTGCTTCTTGCGAAAGCAATACCTCCGTCACCGTGGTCGCTTTCTCCACATACTCTCGCTGAAGAGCGTCAAAGGCATCTCCTTCGTCAAATTCCGCCTTCCGATCGGTGGCAGTGTTGATGTGCGACACCACGACCCGTGTTGCGTCACCAACAACACAGGGCAAGTCAGTTGCGAGTGTATACCTCCTCCCCCGAAAGTTGAGCCTTCACCAGGAGCAGAGTATCGCTGCATCCCCGGCCCGCCAGCCACATACCCACCAATACCACCAGTCTATCTTGCAAGCTTATTCACATGTCCGACAGACGTCCACGAGAAAGACACCTGGATACTAGATCAGCTCCCGAAGCGTACATGTGGTGAGCTGCGAGGTCAGGTCGGGCAGCCTGCTGAGGGATGGGGTATTTACTACGATGAGGGCTTGGACCGCGATACGCTTGCGCTGACCGTCCTCATGGTGTTCCTCGTCGCGAGTCTGCTTTTTGGTGTTCTTTGGTCGCGGTTTCAGTATGATGTTCAAGGAGCGTTTGGCGTCAGCGCGTATATGGTGGCATGTTGTGCGGTACTGCTTCCTGTCATCGTCACGCGGTTGGAAAACAAGGGATAACAAATCCTATACGAACTAGAGTAGATGGAACTTTCACTCCTCCTTCAAGGCTGTTGTTCAGTATCGAGACTTGCCCAGGGCTGCGCAGTGTAAGCTCATCATCCCTGGCAGTGTAACTCATGTTGTAGTGTACTCCGAGGTATACACTGCTCTCAACAGATTCATCTGAAAATTTTCAGCGTAGCGAGTACCTCCCAGGTGATTCCGAATACGAGCTTCGCGGTGTTGTGTTAGTATGGATGCAGTCGCGGAAGCTGCTAACCACGCCTTGAGACACACCCGGAAAGCAGATCATATGATGCAGTGAAGAGATATATATAGCTATCCTGGATAGTATAGACTCACTGATCACAGTCACTATCGTGTTCGGCCTGGTGCACGTGCGATGACGCACGCTCTTTCACTGCTCCTTCCTCCACTGCGCACTCACCTACTGAAAATTTTCCTCCGCTCACAACACTGCCACCTTCCACCACACCACACCCACCACAAAATTGGCCAAAATGGTCAAAATGGCCTGGCTAAACTCCTTGAAAGCCTAACAAAAAGGCTCGAAGCAGCAAGGAAAAAGGTATGTATCCAGAATACTCAGTCACACCCAAACTAACATCTGTCTTAGGATGCCACGCTCATAGCCGCCATGCAACGCAAGACCGACGAAACCATCAAAAGAAACTCGACCAGGTCGGTTAGCGCCATGGTATTGACCATGGTCCTGACTTTACCGGCGAGACACTACTGATGTCGGTCCACTCCAGCCAAAAACAAGCACATCTGGAGTGAATGGCGAAGCAAGTCAGTCTGACGACACTATCAAGAGATGGGACAATGGCGCTAGGGAGCATTTCCTCGATATCGAGGCACCACAGAGTCTGTGGCTGTCTCACCGAAGATCGAGGATGGCATGGACGGTCTCAAGTAGAAGGCTACACAGAATCTGTGTCCTCTTTTGCTTGAGCGTTCGGGTGGGTTGGAAAGCCTTGAGGTCGAGGTACCCGCAGTATCATGTGGCTGTCTCACCGGAGATCGAGGTTGGTGTGGACGGTCTCAAGCAGAGGGTCGCGCAGAGTCTGTGCCATCTTTTGCTTGAACGTTCGGGTGGATTGGAGAACCTTGAGGTTGAGGTACCACAGTATTCTGTGGCTGTCTCACCGGAGATCGAGGCTGGTGCGGATGCCCTCAAGGAAGATCGCCTGGGCAGGCTCGGTGTCTTCTTTGCTTGAGCGGGCGGATGGCGCAGGCTGACGCTGTAACCTCTTTACATGAGAGGCATAGTGTGGAAGAGCTGGCAATAAAGGTCGCAGGTCAATGCTTTGGCTTCTTTACTCATGGGTATGCCATTGAGGGCGCCAAGATGGAGGCAGCGACAGCTGATGATGTGGTTGCTTTGCTCAGGAACTGGGGCCGGGCAGTGTCCGGACGAAGGTAGCGCAGACCGACGCTTTGGCTTCTTATCAAAGAAGTACGGCGACAAGAGCGTCAAGAAGAGGGCGGCGATGGTTGATTACATCCTTGCTTTGCTTCGGGATTATGAGATGAGGTCTCCGGAGAAAGATGGCACGGCTGATGCTGTGTTTTCCTTGCTCTGAGAGATCGATGGCGCGCAGCATGTCGAGGACTCGGTCACTCAGTGAGACAGGGCTGGCGTCATGGGACTTCCGGCAGCGTTGGCCATGTATGAACATGCGTTGCGCTGTTGGTTTCCCTGTGGTAGCCGTGGGTGGAGGGTCAAATTATACCTACATGTTCGGTACTTCTTACAATTCGATATCTTACAATATATCCTGGAGGTACTCAAAGCTCATCACACCTGTGAACGCTGCCTCACCAACTCGATGTATACAGCTGGCATGTTTCCCGTGTTGACATCAGCAAACACATCTCGGCATGTATCCGTCTCGCAGCGCCCTCAAGTTCTTGCTATCGCGTGATTGTGTACTGTATGCTGTGGTAACAACTTCGATTCAAACGCCGTCTAATGCATTGGTCTATAGGGTATCATACCTCAATCCATATCCTCTAATCCGCCCGCATCACTCGGCGCCTGCTCCTCACTAACCATAATCCCCACCATACACTCACCGAGCATATTCTCCCAATTCACCCACGGATGGACTTCCATAAACAGCTTCGTGCCATCTTTGCCCGCCGCCCTCTTCAGCTCGCCCTCTCCACCGGGATGAAACGGCAGATAGGGCGAGATGTTATACACCTTGCCCTGGTAGCTCGACCACGCGGGCTTCCCCTTCCGGCCGTTCTTCTCCTTGAGCATAGCGGGTGTAACGCGTATCATCGAGTCCACGCCCGACAAGTTCTTGCCTGACTTCTGCAGATAGGCCCAGTCGAGTGGCGAGTGGCCGGGCGACAGGAGTACCTTGCCTCGTGCGTTTGGTGTCTTGAGTGAGGCGCCTGCGGTGGGTGGAAGCCCCAGGCTGCCGTTTGAGGTCGGTGGGCCGCGATTGGGTAGCGGGCCGCGGTTCGGAAGGAGCCCGGTTGTGGGTACGCGCATTGACTGGGTGGAGGTGTTGGGGAGGGCGCGCAGGTTTGAAGCTGCGACTCGGGGTGGCGGCATGAGAGAGGTTGTCGGTTTTGGTGGCGGGGCCATGAGCGAGGGCTTGCTGGGTGGAGGCATGGTGGAGGGAGGGGGCATGGCGGATAGCGAGGGCGGCTTCGAGGCTCGCTGGGCGGAGTTCATGGCTGGGAAGGAGGGCGGTGGGAGGTTGTCTTCTTCATCTTCGTCGGAGCTCTCGTGTTCGTTGAGCGTGAAGGTAGGTACTGCAGGCGCATCCTTTTCAGAAACCGGTGCAGCTTTTGGTGTGGATTCGGGAGATGGGCTCTTTGCAGACACTCTGCTATCTTCATGCTTTGTTGAAGTCTGCTCTATGCGCTGCTCCGCCGCGGGGGTGCTGTGGTCTGTCTCGCCATGCTGCGACTTCTCAGGTATCGACGACGCGCCAGAACGTGTGAAGCGAGTAATGAAGGCGAGCCATGTGGAGGGCGGGCGCTGGTAGACCAGGAAGGACAGCGAGAGTGCCAGAATCGAGACGGCAACGAGCATCTCTTGGGTCTGGACGAGGTAAGGAGCGACGGTTGCTGGACCCTGAGGCGTGTGAAGAGCGGAACGAGTCCAGGCTTCATGCGCCTCCAGGGTTTCTTGACTGGTAGGGCTGACGGCAATCGGCGCTAGCCTTCGATGACTTCACGCGCCGCATGCCGTCACTGCTCGGAACATATTCTGTCTGGTGAATGCACACGTTTACGCATTGACTTTTGTCCGACGCCTATACAATCGCACGAGGTTCTCATTCTCTTCCACGGTTACGCGCGACCCACTCTACGCGCCCTTATAACCTCGCGCCTGCCCCACCACCCCTCCATCTATCGCGATCGCAAGTGCACCCTGAGGCTGAATCACACAATCGCGCAATACACCCACACACAACCATGGCCGCGGAACCAGCCAACCTGCCCGAGGGCATCATTTCACTCTTAGATACCGATCTCTACAAGCTGACTATGCAATGTTGCATACTCAAGTTCTTCCCAGACGTCTCAGTCACCTACGGCTTCACAAACCGCACGCCCGACAAGAAGCTGAATCGCGCAGCCTTCAAGTGGTTACAAGCGCAAGTAGATAGTATGTCTTTCCCTCCTTGCTACTTCGACAATGGCTAACCCTCCAGAACTCGAGAATATAACCGTGTCCGACGCCGAAATCGCCTTCCTTAAGAACACCTGCCCTTACCTGAACGCGCAATACCTCCACTTCCTCTCCACGTTCCGCCTCAAGCCCTCCAAGCAGCTCAAGCTATCTTTCCAACCCGCGAATGACACTGGGTCAGACAGCGACAGCGGCGATTTCCACATCCATACCGAGGGTCTTTGGCTAGATACCATCCTGTACGAGATTCCGTTACTCGCGCTGGTCAGCGAGGCATACTTCAAGTTCGTCGAGACAGACTGGAGCCATGAGGGCCAAGTCGAAAAGGCATACCAGAAGGGGCGGAGTCTGTTGGAGGGCGGATGCATCTTCTCTGAGTTTGGCTCGCGGAGACGTCGCGACTACCACACTCAGGATCTAGTGCTGCAGGGCTTGCGCCGGGCAGCTGACGAAGGCGACAAGGCAGGGTGGAAAGGCAAACTCTCAGGGACGAGCAATGTCCACTTCGCCATGAAGCACGGCCTCGTTCCTGTGGGCACCGTCGCGCACGAGTGGTTCATGGGTGTGGCTGCCATTACCAACAACTACGAGAGCGCAAATGAAATTGCCCTGGAATACTGGACAGCGACGTTTGGCGCAGGCGTCTTGAGCATCGCACTCACGGATACCTTCGGCACACCGACCTTCCTCAGAGCCTTCAAGAAGCAGATTCCTCGCGTTACCACGGCTATCCCAGGCGGTGGCACAACGCTGGCGTCAGCTGGCCAAACCACCAACAACGATGCCGTGGAGACAATGGCGTCAACCAACCCGCCGATCCAAGCACCGTATGATGGAAATCTAGGATCGAGACAGACTTATGCCGAGGTGTTCGCAGGTGTGCGACAGGACTCTGGAGACCCGTTGGAGTTCATCAAGATGATGCGCGACTTCTACGACCAGGAAGGCATCAAGGACAAAAAGACCATCGTATTCTCCGACTCTTTGAACCTTGAGCTGTGCTTCAAATACAAGGCTGCAGCAGAAGCAGCAGGGTTCCAGCCCACTTTCGGTGTTGGAACATTCCTGACCAGTAAGTGCGCGAGTAGAATTGGTGCAAGACATGGCTGACCATGACAGATGATTTTGTCGAGCAAACAACAGGCAACAAGTCTGTGCCGCTCAACATTGTGATCAAGATCGCCTCCGCTGCGGGGCGTTACGCCGTCAAGATTAGCGACAACATTGGCAAGAACACAGGAGACAAAGCGACAGTAGATGAAGTCAAGCAGCGACTAGGCTACCAGGAGAAGTCGTGGGCTGGAGGTGATGAGAAGACGCGCTGGGGGACTGCAGGCGCGCCAGCCACTTAGTATGTGCGGTGTGCATCTCATCCGGTGGGGCGTATATGTTGGCTAGACTTGAGCTCCCAAGCTGCAGAGACGTGGAGTCCAACCAAGAAGTGGAGGCGTTCATAAGCTGAGATGCGGTCTGCAAGGCTGAGTCTAGCGCAGACCTTCCTGCGATGACCGTGAAGCTGCGTCAGCGCTTGGTGGCCGGCTCGGAGACTCTTTACGAGATGAGGCGAAAGTGAAGAGTAGATGCGAAAGTAGTGCAAGCGAATAGCAAGTTTGCAGCCCAAAGAGCGCCCAGGTGCCTTCTAGACGCCGAAGCATGTGCGTGTGCCAAAATTAGAGTGAGGTTCTTCGCCGCTGCGGGTCAACGACGCGCCGCTGCTTACCAGCCCCATGGAGCTAGCCCAGCGCCTCCTGCATGTGCGGTCCACTCTGCCACTCAGCCCCAGGAAACATCGCAGAGCTGAAACACATTTATCTTCTGTCGCCAGCCTTTACACAGCATTGACAACATTGATTCGAGTTCAAGCGCGTTTGACCTCAATTCACCCTTCGCCTAGTCACGAGCCCACCGCTACTCTAGTGCCGCTTCCCGCGTTTGCAGTCGGCTGTCTCAGGAGTCTTCACGTCCACTCAGACCACACAGGGCCTGTTTCAGAATGAGCGTAAGTTCCCTCTCTGTCAGCGTACCCGCTTGACTGTGCCCTCCTACAACACCATCACTGCACTACACTACACATTTACACACGCTGACCATGGCTGCTGCGGACGAACAGTACGGAAACAAGGGCTACGGCCAGATAGGATCGTATGGCGGTAACCCCTACGACGCACGCGACGCCAGCCCGGCTGGCTACAACAACTACAACCAGGGCGGCTATGGTACGTCTTCGATGCGCCACACCCTCAACGGCTATCTCTAACACAGCACAGGCGATGTAGAGATGCAAAACTACCCTGGCGGGGGCGCCAGCGCAAACCCCAATGCCATCCTCGACGAATGCCGCGAAGTCGACCGCGCCCTCGATGACCTCGATGCCCAGCTCAGCAACCTCGACCGTGTCTTCAAGCAGTCATTGGCGCGCCCAGACATGCCCTCGGGCGAGATCAACAACCTCAGCTCGCAGATCATGACCGGCTACCGTGGCCTCGTTGGCCGCGTCAAGGCCATCAAGTCGAAGCCCGACTCTGGCCACCCAAGAAACGCTCCCCAAGTCGGCAAGGTCGACCGAAGACTCAAGGCCACCATCAACAAGTACCAACAACTCGAGTCGGATTTCCGAAGGGATTCACAGGCAGCTGCCGAGCGCCAATACCGCATTGTGCGCCCAGATGCTACCGAACAGGAGGTCCGCGATGCAGTATCAGACCCCGATGCGCCCATCTTCCAGCAGGCTGTAAGTAGCTCAACTCGTCAATCGCACGGTTAAACTAACACCTTCCAGCTCCTTAACTCAGACCGCCGCGGCCAAGCCTCATCCACCCTCCGCAACGTCAAGGAGCGCCACGAGGCCATTCAGAACATAGAACGTCAAATGGTCGAGCTGGCCCAGCTATTCCAGGACCTCGACCAGATCGTCCAAGAGCAAGAGCCGCTTGTCGCCAACATCGAGCAAAAGGGCGAGGAGATCCACGACAACGTCAAGGCCGCCAACGTAGAGATCGACGGTGCCATTGTCAAGGCCCGCAGCCGCAACCGCAAGAAGTGGTGGTGCCTGCTCGTCCTCCTGCTCATCATCATCGTCGTTGTTGTCATTGCTGTGGTTGTCACACAAGTCAACAAGGCCGCCGCCAACACCGTTGCGTAATCAACACACTAGCCGAGTCTATTCCTCCAGCATTAAGAGATCGCTATACAGCCGCGTCTCGCATTCCACCATCACATCCACCGTCTCTTCTTTATTAGTCTTTTCCCAAAGGCTGGTCCGTACAATATGTAATACCCCCACGGTGGATATACATACCCCATCTCTCCTGTCATCTCTTCCATTGGTTAGGAAAATTGGTCTCTTTTGTAGGCGCCTCTGGCGTCCTCTATTCTCAGCGTCTCGAAGCTGTTTCTGTAGCGCTGGCCGAATTGCATCATTGCGGATTACTTATATACAACTGTTTTAGAGGCTAGCTTACGAGCTATCGAATGAAAGAGTCAAACATGTCCTTTTCGGCGCGATGCGCAATGGTGTTTGCATTGCCACGGTCCTCAACTTCACCGCCCCACGCACCGGTCCGACGCAATATGAATTCGCATACCACAATCAATCTTTGTGAGAAATGGCGGCGAAACCTTCTCTCAGGTGACGTTGTAATATAAACATGTACCACGCTAAATTTCGAAGCAATCTAAATGGCACAAAAGCCGAACATGGACCTGGGGCAAGGCGCACGATCTACCGACACTTTAACCACTCTGGCGTCCACTAAATCGCGAACTCATATATTTTGGAAACAAGCACGGAACAAGCATGGCACTATACCTCTTGAGCTACGGAGGGAAAAGCTTGGGCTGTGATATGGACAGTATAAAGCAATAGCACTTGGCCGCCGTCTTGGGTACCAGCACCTCATACTCAGATCAAACCAATAAAAACTATGTTCGGTCAAACAGCACTCTTCGCTCTAGCCCTCGCGGCACCAGCCCTCTCCCAAGTCACCGAAGGCTTCGAGAACGGCTGGGACCAAACCGCATGGCCAACCTACGCCCCAGACTGTTCGCAAGGCGGAAAGGTCACCCTAGACAGCACGACAGCGCACACAGGCAAGAACAGCATCCGCGTGGACGGCGCAGGGGGTTTCTGCGGCCACATTTTCGTCGGCACGACTAAGATTCCTGCTGGCGATGTTTACGTGCGGACGTACCTGTAGGCCTTCCCTTGACTGATAAGAGAAGGAACATGAACTAACATACCTACAGCAAAGCATCCAAGCCCCTAACCGACTCCCACGTAACCTTCATCACCATGCCCGACTCCGCCCAAGGCGCAAAGAAACACCTCCGCATAGGCGGCCAATCCAAGATACTCATGTACAACCGCGAAACCGACGACGCCACTCTCCCCGATCTCAGCCCACAAGGCATCGCATCTTCAAAGGCACTACCCACAAACGCCTGGACGTGCTTTGAGTACCATCTCGGCACCGATGGCAGTGTGGAGACGTGGCTGAACAACGCGACGATTCCGGGACTGACGGTGGGCAACGGCGCGACGAATGCGAATGCGGGGCAGTGGACGAGGAGTTCAGTCAAGCCGAAGATTACGGGCGCGTACTTTGGGTGGGAGAGCTATGGAGGGGATACCAATACGATTTGGTACGATGATGTTGTTGTTAGTGGGAAGAGGATTGGGTGCTAGATGTGCCAAGGGTGATGGAGATGCTCCAGGGTCGGGACTTGTATATAGTGGAGCTTGGACTTGTAGATATTGAACTATAGGTTACTGCATGTGGAAGTATCGTTCGACATGAGAGTGAAGGCTCTGGAAATGGTGCAGACGTCTAGATGGTGTCATAATGAAATTACCCAGGTACATCGACAAACGCCAGATGTCTTTCCACATGAACACAATGCCTCCGCGCCTCGTAGAACCTTCCTGCCTATGCGCCAGGAAACCACGATAAAGTCATCGTGACACAAGTCCCCTGTGACTTCCGCCCGCTCCGCCGCCAGGTAGGTGCCACGAACCAACCCCAGAACCGCGGGGAAACTCCCCAATCCCCTAAATTCCCTCACCACATGTCATCTGAACACATTCCACTCCACCAAAGGACCGGCTGCACCCCTTGGCGCAACATCTTTGCCTGAGAGATATCACATCGCAACCTGCAATGCACCCTGCACGATCGCGACAGTATCGCCTGATCGCGCATTGTAGCAGATAGGCTGACGACAACGCCGCTTGGCGAACCCCAAGCCAACGCCACAAACCCTGCCACCCTGCCCTCACCACCAATGTAGACACACGGGCGTGGGCGGTGAAGAGGCATGCGCGCACTTCCAAGTTTTCATGCCAATGTCGCTGCAGCATGGGTAGCTCGCGATGTCCAGCACGAGGACGCACTTTCACCATCACATGGGCAAGGTAACGCAAATCACAGCCGCACGTTATTCACTCCACAAGTGGCATTTCAAGGAACTTGCAGCTTAGCTTCCGCAGCCCGCGCCGCAGCGCACAGAAAGTTCAAAGGTCCAAGACGCCGTGCGAAGACACGCCTAGACCCTGGGCTGACGCTCCATGCCGCTTGCGGCCTAGAAGGTTCGGGGCTTTGGGCTGGGGCCGTTCGCTGGAATATTAACGACGGTATATGTTAGCCTGGGGTATTCGCTGTTTCTTTTCACTCGTTTTAAGTACTCTGGGGTAGTGAACCTTTTTGTGGGGGAGTGTGTTCTGCGTTTGTTCTCTCAGCCTTGCTACTACGACCATACTAGACCTATCGGTTCGAGCTCGTTCGACATGTCTTCTGTTATGGCATCTGCGAGTGCGGCGCCCACGGAGCCTATCAAGGCTCCGCCGCAAGCGGGCATTCTGGAGGGGGTCAATCCTGTGCATTTTGACAAGAATCATCCGATTATTCTGTTTATCGTTCAGGTATGTCGTCTTTACTAGCCCAAGCATCGTGTTTGAGAGTCTAGCTTGGTGAGACGCTTCACCGATCTAGTACTACCACCATATCTCAATATCTGCGCAACCTCAGTCCATATCACTGGTTCTACATCCGCAAGCCATGACTCCAGTTAGAGTCGTCCCTGGAAATCTACCATAATCTTCAAAGAGAAGCATACTGACAATGTACGCAACAGGCAGGCATAATCATCATCTTCTGCCGCGCCCTCAACTGGCCCCTCTCCAAAATCCGCCAACCACGCGTGATATCCGAAATCATCGGCGGCATCATCCTCGGTCCCTCAGTAATGGGCCGCATCCCCGGCTTCCAAACCTCCATCTTCCCCACCGAGTCCATGACCAACTTGAACCTAGTCGCCAACCTCGGTCTGACGTTATTCCTCTTCATCATCGGATTGGAAGTCGATCTGCGGTTCCTACTCAGCAATTGGCGGCCTGCGCTCAATGTTGGGCTCGCGAGTATGGCGGTGCCGTTTGGACTGGGTTGTGCGATCGCCGTGGGGTTGTACAATGAGTTCAAGGATGAGCCGGGAACGGTGCAGATTGATTTTGCGATTTTTATGCTGTTTATTGGTGTGGCTATGGCTATCACTGTGAGTTCTGCGGATTCGAGGGGTTTCGTTCTTGTGCTAATTGGACGTCTAGGCCTTTCCGGTACTGTGTCGTATCTTGACGGAACTGAAACTGCTCATGACGCCGGTTGGTGTTATTGTTCTTTCAGCGGGTGTTGGGAATGACGTTGTTGGTAAGTCGCACAGCTTCTCCGCTAGCTCCTCGACTAATGTTCTGTAGGATGGATCCTTCTCGCTCTCTGCGTGGCCCTCGTCAACGCTGGTTCAGGTCTCTCGGCACTGTGGGTCCTCCTCACCTGCGCCGGATACATGCTGTTCCTCGTGTACGCCGTGCGACCAGTCTTCGTCTACGTCCTGCGTAGATCTCGCGCACTCCAAGATGGTCCCAGTCAAGGCATCATCAGTCTGACACTGCTCATCGCCCTGGGCTCTGCCTTCTTCACTGGTATCATCGGCGTTCACCCCATTTTCGGAGCGTTCATGGCGGGACTTATCTGTCCCCACGAGGGTGGTTTTGCTATCAAAGTCGCTGAGAAGATTGAGGATCTGATTGGGGCACTCTTCCTCCCGCTCTACTTTACTCTCTCGGGACTGAACACCAACATCGGTCTCCTGGACTCTGGTATTGTGTGGGCGTACGTCATCGGCGTCTGCGCTGTCGCCTTCTTCTCCAAGTTCCTGAGTGCAACCCTTGCAGCTCGCGGAAGCAAGATGCTGTGGCGAGAATGCTTCGCTGTGGGCTCTTTGATGAGTTGTAAGGGATTGGTGGAGCTTATCGTCTTGGCAAGTAATCCTACTCACAGTTTCAGGCCAGTACTAACAATCACAGAACATCGGACTGAATGCCAAGATTCTCAGCACCCGAACCTTCACCATCTTCGTCGTGATGGCCCTCGTTACTACCTTTGCATCGTCTCCATTGACAATGTACTTCTACCCTCCCTGGTATCAGAAGAAGGTTGAGGCATGGCGTCGCGGCGAGATTGACTGGGACACCGGCAAGCCTCTCGACGGCTCAGACGAAGGTGCCGATGGGATCAATTACGAGAAGATGGCTGCTGAGAAGATTCAACGGATGACCATCTACCTCCGTCTGGACAGCATGCCCAACCTGTTGGCCTTCACCTCGCTCTTCGGTGGAAACGCGGACAAGCCGGCGCCCAAGACGCACCCATCGAAAGACATCAGCACAAGCAAAGAGACAGGCGAGACGTCACTTGTCGAGACTGCACCATCGCGACCAGTCGAAGCCTACGGTCTCCGACTACTCAACCTCACCGACCGTGGCTCCTCCGTCATGCAGGTCTCGGAGCTAGAATCCTACACAGCCTACGACCCAGTCGTGAACACGTTCCGCACATTTGGCCGTCTTCACAACCTTGCCGTCAGCGGCGAAGTGCTCGTCGTGCCGGAATCGTCTTTCGCTGAGACTCTCGCTACCCGTGCATCTGACTCCAACTTCCTAGTCCTGCCTTGGAGCGAGACAGGCGGTATGTCGGAGCAAGCCATTATCGAAGACAAGGGAACGAAGAACAAGCTCGCCGCTTCAACGTACAACACGTTTGTGCACGACACACTCGAACAAGCCAGTATACCCGTGGCAGTCCTGATCAACAAGAACTTTGGCGGCAGCAAGAACAAAGAGCAGAAGCAGCGGCTGAAGCTTACCAGGACATACAGCAGTGTTAGTCTGTCTAGCGCCAGGGACAAGGCGGTCACAGCACCCATCGCGGATCGAAGCCACCACGTCTTCTTCCCCTTCTTTGGTGGCAACGACGACCGGACTGCTCTACGTCTGGTTCTCCAATTAGCCGAGAACCCTCAAGTCACTGTTACCGTCGTGTACTTCGATGTTCCGGAGTCTGTTATCGGCCAAGCGTCGCCCGTCTCATCAACGGTTCTAGGAAAGGCCGGAGAAGTAGTCACAACGACGACTACATCCCGCGAGCAGGATGCAGCCTTCTTCGCTTCGCTCCGTGCCTCACTTCCTTTCGATCTAGCAAGCCGTGTCGTCTTCGAGACTATGGCTTCCACTGCGCCTGTTCAGGATGTCATTGCCCGCGCGAGCATTGAGGTCGGGCAGTCGCCGAGGAACGCTGGTGATCTCATCGTGCTGGGTAGGAACGTAGCAAGGAACAGTGTGTTGGAGAGGGAGAGCACAGCAGACGAGATAAGGAGTAGCTCAAGTGCAGCAGCAACACTGGGTGTGCTTGCTGAGAAGGTCTGGGAGGGCAGACTGGGAGCTAGTGTGTTGGTTGTCAAGGCGGGATTGTGATGGTAGTATAGCTGGTATTCAAGGCGCTTGGAAATGGATATGGAAGGGTACCACTGGATTGGGATATGTTACGACTGAGATACCTCCTGGCTAAATGAAGGTTGCTTCATGCTTGCGTAATCCAACGCTGAAAGTCGGTCCCACCCGTTGCACTGTCCGTGATCAACGACAAGGAGCCATGTCTCATGCCGATTTACGCTCTGTCCTGCATGTCTGCGCTCTTTTGTTGAGTTCATGGCTCGTCCTGGGATCATAGACGTTATGCGGCTCCGCATGCGACGTGTGGCAATCCACGAGTAGACTTGTACGTCCTGACCGGTCTCAACTCACCATTGACGCCTGACCGCGTACGCGTACAGTACGGGCTTCCGCACGACCGTCGGATGCAGGGCGTATGCTCACAGTACACGTGCCCTTACCAATCTCCGTGGTACGTACTCGGTGCTACGTGGGGTGTGTATCTAAACCACGGTCCACGTCACCTTCCCCGGTCGTGCTGCGGCTGTTCTTCAACCGTCGCAACCCAGTGACTCATCATTCATCGACAGTTTGACGTTGATGAGCATGCCAGCGGAAGATCCTCGAGGGAGATCGTGGAGCATTCGTTGCTGTGACGTTTTTCTTACCCATGATAGGCCGCACTAAAGGCAGAGATGTCGTGATGTGGAGGTGAGGATGAAGAAACTTCCGTAGGTTGGATCAACGGACAAGCTCGGAATAGATGAGGAAGAAGCGGTGACAGGTGGCTAGAAAGCCATCGAACGAAAAAGCAGCTGTGGGTCGAGTTGTTATCAGCTTTCCACAGTACATACAGATATTGTGGGTGTCCAGGATGACTAAATGGTGCCTCAGGTTCCCCTGAACCCAGCCGCGTGGACTTGAAGTCCTGCACTACAGTTGCATGCCAGTGTAAATGAGTACGAGATGTTCTGGTAGGCTTCTCTTGCGTGTGCACGAGCCAAGACGAACGCTGTATGACTGCAGAGTGCAACTGCTCAGCCCTGCGCATGAGTAGGATTGCGAAGATGTGGAACAGTTAGTTCTGGAAGATCCTATGCACGTACGGATTCCAATGATGAGGCAGGCAATGCTCTGTCGCACACGTCGTAATCGGGTTATGACTTGCAGTCGATCCCGAAAGATACGCCACCGAGAAGCCCCGTGCCGCGCATGCGCCTCACAGGGGGCTGTAGAAGGCGAACCATGTGACCAGGACACGGGGATTTTGAAAAAAGATGGAAAAGTTCACGATGCTAGTAGAAGTGGTCGAGGCGCTGCTGGCAATTCTCCGCGAATTGGTGCAGAAATTCATGTCCAACGGTCGTGGTCAGTGTTCGGGTGGAGTCGTCGTGTAGACGGACGCGTGGCTAGCGAAGATCAACGTCCCCACCAGTCCACTAGGGCGCGCCGCAAAGGTAACCCCAAGAGGAAGCAACGAGGGACAGGGGAGATTGAAGATGGAGTCGTCGCGTTCGCGTGCAGTTGAGAAAGCTTGCGAGATGAATGCGTACCCATTGTATATGGGAGACGTGTCGCGCCAACGCAGGTCTTGTCACGGGCGGGCCTGAGGAAGCGCTGGAGCCCACTGCGAGCGATAACGTAATGTGGAAAAGGCGCGTCATGGCGACGTGAGGGCAAATTCAGCGAGCAGCTTCATCGCAAGCTGGTGTAGTGCAGTTGAAGCTCGACGAGCAATACCACCAGCAAAGCTTGAGTATCTTCGAGACCGGGCAGGGCCTGCTTGGCGCGAGCCACCAGAGCGTCGGAGCTGGAGAAGCAGTCGACGGGTGGTGATTGCGACGCTGATGCCAAGAGCGGCGATTCTAGAGGGTAAAGTGGTTCACCAAAGATTGCGCAACTGTAGTGCGTCGCTGCCACGCTTAGCGAAGCGTCTGCCCCTGCGTGGAACAAGTGGATGCACGTGAGAAGCAACGAAGGATAGAGATATGTGTTGTAGATACGCGGCATACGCAACGGAAGGCCAGATAGGGCGGAGGATACCCTGGGCAGGCCGGCGGGAGCAATGCTACGCTGATCTGACAGTGGTTGCGTGGTCGCAGGGCCTGCGTGCGGGTGGTGGGTGTTGTGGTTCTAGACATGAGGAAGCCGCGACAGGGCCGCGTCAACACGGCCCAAAGCGGTAAGCGCGAGTCGTCGTCGTCTTGCCCCATCCCTCAATCAATTACCCTCGTCCGCACCTGTCCAACCCACGACTCCACCACCTATCGACGCCCACACCCGTCACCCAGCGCTGTCGAGCCGCCTGCACGAGAGAAAGAGACTGCCAGCTCTCTCCGCGCCCACGAACAGCAGAATTCCCAGAATATCTGCCTGTGGCTGTCTCGTTGCTGCGCCGCCGCATTATCGGGCTGTGCACTGCCAATCCGCAGCCGCTCGACCACGCTATACACCCACGACACCCGTCACCCGCCCACGACCTTCCTGACCCGCCATCACCGCGCACAACGACACTGCGACTGCAGCTCGCACCCGCCCACGATGGAATACAACAACAGCGCCCACCGCGCTCACCAGCCCCAGCACGTCGACACGGACCGGCTGGCGGCCGACATGACGGAGCAGTTTCGTCAGGTCCTCAGCACCAAGCGCATGAACGAACTCACATCACGCTCATCTCAATCGCGCTCCTCATCGCCCGCACCGAGGGACTTCGGCACTCCACAGCCGCCGCCGTCGCAGTCTGCCCCGCCGACGTACGCTTCCATCAGGAACATCCCCCTCGTCCCTGAAGCGCCTCGCGATGCGCGCTCCCTCCGCTTCAAGAACATGCTGCACTCACTCTCCAACATGCCCGTTCGATGGGAGAACCCTGGACTCCTCGACGAGGCTCTTCGCGTCATCCCACTGGAGCAGATCTACAACGAGGCCGAGGAAGAGAGCCAAATATTGCAGGCCGAAGCTGAGAGTATGTCTGCCGGCAAGAAGGCCGCCTGGGGCTACCAAGATTGCGTTGTCCGCGCACTCCTCCGATGGTTCAAGCGATCCTTCTTCTCGTGGGTCAACAACCCGCCGTGCTCGCGATGCTACTCACCAACCGTCGCCGTTGGCATCACTCCACCACTACCCGACGAGCAAGCCCGTGGCGCCAACCAGGTAGAGGCTTACCAATGCTCCCACGAGGCCTGCAAAAACTACGAGCGCTTCCCACGATACAACGACGCATTCGTCCTGCTGCAAACACGCAAAGGCCGATGTGGCGAGTGGGCCAACTGCTTCAGCATGCTCTGCCGCGCTGTCGGCTCAAGAGTACGCTGGGTCTGGAACGCAGAGGACCACGTCTGGACCGAAGTCTACTCTGTGCACCGCAAGCGATGGGTACACGTAGACGCCTGCGAAGAGGCATGGGACAAGCCCCGGTTATACACTGATGGTACGTTGCTTCTTCCACGCCCACACCTTTCATCTGCTAATTATCTTCTCAGGCTGGGGCAAGAAGCTCTCCTACTGCATCGCCTTCTCAGCGGATGGTGCCATGGACGTCACCCGTCGGTACGTCCGCGACGCTAAGCACGCAGCTGAGCGCAACCGCGCACCAGAGGCCGTCCTCCTCCACATCATGGACGAGATCCGAGCAACACGACGCGCCAACATGTCCAAGCAGGACAAGTTCCGCCTGCAGGGTGAAGACATCCGCGAAGCCAAGGAGCTCCGCCAGAGCGTCATCTCATCCATTGCACACGCTGTCAGCAAACTCAAGCCAGAAGACATCATCAACGCTCAAGTCACCCGCCGCCTAGACCCCGATGCCCAGAAGGCATTGGAGGGCCGCATGAGCGGCAACGCCCAATGGATACGAGCGCGCGGCGAGGGTGGACAGGGTCAACAGAACCAGCAAGACCCTCGAAACCAGCACCCGCGCTGAACGCATCCGCCACCCCACCTTCCATTCACCACTTCCGGTATCTTTCCATCGCGCCATGCCTACAACGTAAGCCGAGTCAGCAAGGTGCGCTGCACCTAGTTCTCGAGCATGTAGAGCTCGATAGAAGACGAGATACCCTTCCGACATACCCCCGCAACATTCGTTACGCGGACGACACTCCCGCTTGTATAACATCGAGTCTTTGATTCTTGGTCATTTCCGATTCATTTGCGCCGGCGTTCCAGGAGCAGCACGCAAGAGACATGCGATATCTTTAATGTCTGCACCCACCTCGGCAGAGGCTTTTCTATTGTTCCCGCATCACTTTGGCGACCGATTTCACTGCTTCACTGCATTCTTCACTTCATCTTTCCGTGTGCACGCGGGGTTTTGCGGCACTGTTTATACCATTTTGCCATTTTGGATTACGACTTGCGATATCTCCTATGTCTTTTCTGTATGTTTACGAGCATTTTGGCACTTGTACGCACGACGTATGAGCTTCACGTTTAGGTATTCGTCGCACTGCACAGTTTTGAGAATTGGAGGTGCTGTACACGGGCGCGGTGGGGATCCGTGGCAGAGAGCTGATGTGTACGGTGTACGAGGGGTCGACGCGCGTCCCGCCCAAGATGCAGAGCTTACTGCAGCCTTAGGGCGGTGGATGCAAGATAGAAAATCAGAGCCAGATTGGCCATGTTTCTGCAAACCACATGAACACTTCATCTCAACAGCTTGCGTGATTGTGACATTGTGCGCGACTAGGGCGGAAGCTGATCAAAGTCGGTATGTGAAAGATTTGCGGGGACGCGCGTTAAGAGTACGCAGGCTGGGTCAGGAACATGGCAAGTGATCTCCAGGGTCCACCCTTCGACATTGAAACATGCCTTCCACACACGTCAAACGGAGGAAGAAACCATGATGCAAGAAAGCAAACGTCATGTCTCATGGCAACCATTCTCTCGAACATCTCACTCCAGCGAGAAGGAGTGATGGCACGAATCATGCACGATCAGCATCGTGACAGGCGGGCCGTTCGTTTCTCCAGCTCTTTCCCAAGGAGGTTAGCGGGCGATGCGGTGCAGAGAAAATGTCTAAAAATAACGATGGAATCCAA